TAACCAAACCTACTTCTAAAAACACGTGAAAGCTTTGGAGAATGGTCTTGCTGATGTGGAACACAATGAGAGCACAAATCAACAACAGACTCTAGATCTTCTTTCAAATGACAAAGGTTGACAAGGGTCTAAGAAAGATCCAAGTGGTAAGTGAGATATCTTTCAGCTTCAGATTTATATTATTGGTGCAAAAAACCGTATGGTTTATTGCAAGTGGTATTTTCCAAATTAAGGATCATATCAAGTATTCGGTTTACAATTCGGAGGGACATGTGAAAAATTGTAAGTTTATAGTATTGAGAAGCTATTGGTTAAGATAAATAAAGAATAGATTTTTTTCCCCTAAAAAAACCTATAGCATTACTCCGCTAATTAAAAGATTTTTACTTCTTTCAATGCCTTATAGAAAAAATAATCTCATTATGTAAATCTCAATAACAGAGTACATTGGTAAAGTTTTAAAAACCAGGAAATAGTCAAGATAATACCAGTAGGTACCTTACATAACGATCAAAGAGAAAGTGAGTAACTCTTATGAGAGAGTCATCTCATTTATAATTGTTTAAGAATCTAATATTTTAAAAAAAAAATAATTGGAAGAATATATGTCTCAAATAATAAATAATTCATTATGTGAAGATATTATTTCTACAAAATATAAGAAGTGAATACAGTTCTAATTTTTATGATTATAACTTAAAACATGTTTTAGTTGTTTGGATTTATATATAATTTTGGAATTACTTTTTAGGCAATAAAGAATAACAACTTTAAGAGTGACTTGATTTCAGCTTCCAAACTATATTTCAACTTCGTTTTAAGAGGAGAGTTCATATTAGAATACTCGGACAATATGTGTTTATGTTATCTTTGTGCTTCACTTCGCAAGATTTTTTGAAATTGATCGTTTATACAAAGATAATCAAGCCTATAAAAGATGTGAAAATATACATCTGAAAACTTCCAAACTTCCAAAAATAAATTGTAGAAGAAAATACGAAGAAGGTATAAAACTAAAAAAAAAAGAAGAAAAACACAAAGAAGAAATCTGTTTATTTAATATATTATGTAAAACAATAAGAAATTGGAAAATATACACTATATAAAGAATAATAGGAAGAAAAAAAATCGAAAGAACAAGACAAAAAGAAATTGAAAGAAAAGATGATGTTTCCGTCCGTGCAACGCGATTTTGAGTAAGTTTTTCAAGTAAATTAGTGATTTTGAGTAAGTTTGTTTAATGAAACATTTCCGCCCGCACAAAGTGCGGGGTAAACACCTAGTTAAAAATTATTATGTAAAAAAATATACGTTTATCAAAAATAAATTAGAAATAAAATTTAATATTATGCTTGGGTTCACTATTTTCTATTTAGGGTTTAGTTTTCTCCCATTAAAAAAGAAAATTTAAAATTAGTTATTTTGATAAATTATCTTAATTAATTTAATTATTTGGTTTATTTTCATTGGTTAAAATAAGAGGGAGTAAATAAAAGAATTATTTAGTGATTAAATCGAATTTTAATTTGAATAATAATAAATTTTTAATTTTCTGTAATAAAAATGTCAACTTACATTAATTGTTTGATTAAGATAATATTAATTTTTATTTTAAATTAAATGGCATGTTTTGATTGGTTAGAAAAGAAGGGGGTGAATAAAAAGGTTCACCCCTAGGGGTGAATCCAGAATTGTTCGTTTTTTTTGGGTCAACAGCTAGATTCTAGTTCTAATTTATAAACATTGAAATATTACTATGAATATATCTTCTTCGTTTTTTTTTGGACTGAATTGTGAATATATCAACTCTAGTTCTTTGCTTAAAATAAAAAAAATTGGCTATCAATTAAAATATTAGTGACGCCATGATAATAAAAATTATTCTTGCTTTAGTGTTATTGAATAAGAGGAGCACAAAATCTACTGAAAGTTTGGGTGTTTTTATGTTTATGCAAAACAAAAATCTTTGAACTCTGTCAAATTTGGGAAAATGTATTTTAAACGATATCATTTATACATTTTGAGAAAGAAAAAACATTGAATTAAACAAAACTATACAATGAAAACTCTATAACAATGACTAATCTAAACCGTAGTTCACTACTTATTGCAACTGTTATGTTTATGCAAAACACAAATATTTTGAACTATGTCAGATTTGGGAAAATGTTTTTTAAAAGATATCGTTTGTACATTTTGAAAAAGAAAAAACATTGAATTAAACAAAGCTATACAATGAAAACTCTCTAACAATCAAACATGGACTAATCTTCTATACTGTGGTTCACTACATATTGCAATTAGTATGTTGCATCACATGCTCTAGAAAAATTAAGGTCCGATGGACTAAACATCTAATTGTGAAAGAAACAAATAATCGATTATCTATATTTAATAGACTGAGTGAATATTTAATTTTAAAGATGCGATTTCAAACATTTAAACCCAGATTTTCAATGATTTTTTGAATTTATTCAGGTTAAAACACGTTTGGATGGGATTTTAGGCATCAAGAGCAAGAGAAGGAACAGACTTAAAACGAACTAAAAGTGGTCACTGAAGGAGCAAGGATCGATTGGTCTAGGCTTAGATTATAGATACATCCAACTTTGGATACTGTGATATTTTCCTAAAACCAAGAAATAAAACCAAAAAAAATTTGCATTTGCAGATTGCAAAGATGAATCTTTGATTCTTTATATCCCCAACATGAAATTTGTACATTTGATGCTGTTCCCTTTTTCATGAACTTTGCCATATAAAAACTTGGAAATGAGCTTCTATAGAAGAAAATATCAAGAGTCAAGGGGTCTCCAAGTAGCACGTTGCAGAAGATTCAACTTCATCGAGCTCAATATCTCCACAAGTAGAGAGAATTGTTGCAAATATATAATCATCCACCTCAAATCCCTCTGCCTCCATTCTATACATTAGCTTCAATGCTTCCCTGCAAAACCCATTCCTCGCGTAACCCATTATCATCGCCTTCCATGCAACCAAGTTCTTCTCAGGCATGCTGTCGAATACCCGAAAAGCTTCCGAGACAAATCCACATTTTGCATACATATGAATCAAAGCACTCCCCACAAAGACATTTGACAGAGCATGATTCTTCTTTGCAATGGAATGGATTGATTTGCCAATAAGAAGAGATTCTGAATTAGCACAAGCTTTTAAAACCGAGGAGTATGTAAATTGGTTTGGCTCTACACCGTCTTGAATCATCTCTTTCAAGAAGTCTAGCGCTTCTGATTCATGTCCTAAGCTCGAACATCCAGAGATCATAGCGGTCCATGAAACCACATCTCTAGATGGCAATTGTCGAAGAACATTAAAAGCGTCGCCAGATTCTCCGCATTTGCAATACAGCCAAACCAAAGTACTTCCTATATAGACATTCTTCTCGATCGAGTTCTTGATAATCTGAGCATGAAGCTCCTTCCCCAACAACAAAGCCCCAACAGATCCACAAGCTCTAAGGATGCTTACTACTGTCAAATTGTTAGCAATCAGATGCCGCCTCTTCATTAACCTAAAGAGACTATAGCATCCTCACCAAACCTTCCCGAGCATGAGCAGCGATATCGAAAGTCCACGTGACTGTGTTTCTATTGCTCATCACCATCAAACACTATTCTGCAATCTGAAATCTCTCACATTTGGCATACATGTCCATCAACGAGGTTCCTACAAAAACATCCCTTCTTAATCATCTTTTTAACCACCAAGCTGTGTACTTGCCTTCCAAATCTTATCGCTTTCTCCTCACTACAAGCCTTCAAGATACTACACACCGTAAACTCGTTAGGCAAAAAACCGTGATTCAACATTCCGGTAAACATGACTATGGCTTTGTTTCCATGCCCTTTTCTCGAGCAAGCCGATATAACAGCTGTCCAAGATATCACATCTTTCTCCTCCATCATATCAAACGCTCGCAACGCACTTGTCAGCTCACCGCATTGCGCGTAAAAGTAAACGAGTGAACTCTCTACAATGAGATTCTCCACTCTAACTTTCACCATATTACCATGTACCTGTCTCCCTAGCTCAAACTCTGATCTCCTACTACAAAGATTTAACAGACACACAAACATCCTCTCGTTCGTGAAACGAATCCCATGCTTCACATAATCCTCGAAAAGAGAGAAAGCTTCATCCTCAAGACCGAATTTCAAGTACCCATCTATCATCGCAGTCCAAGTAACAGTGTTTCTCTCAGGCATACTGTCGAACACTTTACGCGCATAAACTAAATCCCCGAGTCTCACACAGGAACTTATCAAATTATTACCGAAATAGATCACTTGATCATCAAAACACTTCAACGCCATCGCGTGAATCCTTTTGATGAGTCTCATCCCATTTGAGGACTGTAGCCACTCCGCGAGCAGAGCGTAATCCAAACATTCGTTCGCGAAGGTAGTTGAAGAACTCGATGAATCGTAATCAACATCCTCTTCGGAAAACGCTAACTCGAAAGAATCGCTAAAACCCGAATCGAAAGATGGTCTCTTTCCAGAAAAGAGTCGAAACCCAGATAATCTTCCGTTCCTCTGTTCATCTCGCTTCGGTCTCGAGTCGCTAATGCTCAATATCGTCGAAGATTTGAAGCTTTGCGTCACCGGAATCTCTGAAATCCGGAGATGGGGTTGAATTAACGTTAACGAGAACATCGTCGGCGATGGAGAAAAGTGAGCTTTCGATCTCCCGCCGATAATTGAACCAAAAGCAAAAAAAAATCAGATAAAGTTCTCTTTTTTTTTTTTCTACGTTTAACTAACTTTTAATTAAACTTTTATCTTGTAGTTATGACGACAACAAATAATATCTCGGTCGGTTTCAATTCCTAAACGAGAGACAAATATACACACGCCTGAAAAAAGAAATAAAATAAATAATTTTACAACCATTGAGAGAAAAACACGTGTCTTACCACTTACAACTTTCCTCTCTCCCTCAAACACAAATGCTTCTTTCTCTCTCCTGAAAACCCTTGAAATGCTCCACGATCCCACGAAACGTGTCTCTCTAACTTCAATCTTCCTCATTAATTCTCAGATTCTACTTCAACAAATTCCCATTTTATTCATCTCTCAGCTTTAATCTATTGAGTACTTTCATTTCTGATTTTTGTTAAGCAACAGAGCAAATCAGCAAATTGTAAATGCTTGGCTAAAAGCTTATCTGTGAGACTTTGGGTTTTTCATTGTTTAGCTCTGGAAAAAATAAAAGTCAGAATCTTATTACTCTTTTAAAGCTTTAGATTTCGAGACGAGAATTTAAAACGACCAAGTTCGGGATATTCGTTTCTTCTTCTACTTTCGTCTCTTCCTCTTCCTTCTCCTAAAGGGGTTTTATTCCGTCAAAAACCCCTTTTTTGAGAAGGTAAAAAGGCATAAACAGAGAGATCGCCAAATTCATGAAACAGGTGAGAAAAAACTTTTCTTCTTCCTTTCGTCGCCTTTGTACTTCATATCTCTAATTTCTGTGCCTTTGGTTGGTTAATTGTTGACGATGATAAGTTTAAATACTTTAATTAGATGATTGCTTCTCATTTCTTCTTACATAACTTACGGAATTAGAAGAAATTTACAAAAGTCTCTGTAAATCTCTTATCTTTTCCAAATTGAAGTTATTTTTTTCAGATAATCTGCAGATTGTTTATCGTTTATCACCTGAATTACTGTTTCTGGTATACGAGTTAAAGCCCCTGTCTCTAGGCTCTAGGCTCTATTCTTTGTTTTTGTTCACTGAAGAGGTCTCCTCATAATCAATTCTCTAAATCGCTGTTTTTTCTTTCTTTCTTCTGATTGTTCTCTTAATTGCAGGGTTCGATGAATAGATCGTGTCTCTGTAGTGTCTTGATCGCCACTGCTCTGATTTGTGGTGCTTACTTCATTGGCAACGCTTATCTTGATAAAGAAATTAAAGAGGTAAAAATCTCTTTTGTATTTGACATCGACCTATATGTGTTCGATGATGCTGGTTTATTCGATTGAATTGTTCCTCTGTTTTTTTTTTTTTTATAGTGTAATAATAAGTGAGTATTTTTCTGACATGTGAAGAACATGAGATTATTATAAAAATTCTGGTTTTATTGTCAACACATTAGAGTGTTATGATTTTAATTTATAATTTCTTAAATTTTCAGAAATTGCTAAGATGGAAAATCACTGATAAGATGCATAATACCACTGATAAGATGCGTAACAACACTGATAAGATGCAGAACGCAAGATCCGGTACATGCGAGGTTTGTTATCAAAGAAGTTTATTTTTGTTTTGAGTTTCCTTTGTGAGATTCTTTGATATAAAAGTTTATGATTAATGCTTTTCATTAGAATCTCAATAAGCCATTGGGTACTGATGCATTACCGCAAGGAATTATCGCCAAAACATCAAACTTGGAGACGCAACATCTATGGAACTACGGTGACACAAAAAAGGTTGTTAAGTAGTCAGAGATTTTTTTTTAAAAGATCACAGCTTTTTCTTGTAGCTTATTAATCTTTCTTTGTATGCTCCTTTCTCTATTTCTCTTCAGGGGAATCCGAATCGTTCGATGAGTTTGTTAGCCATGGCTGTTGGAATCAAGCAAAAGGAGCTAGTCAACAAAGTTATCCAAAAGGTTTTGTCTTGTCTTTTGCTTTTTCACCTTTTTGTGTAATGATGCTAATTGCTGTGATTTCAGTTTCCTCCTCGAGATTTCGTGGTCATGCTTTTTCATTACGATGGTGTTGTCGATGATTGGAAGCAGTATCCATGGAATGAGCAAGCAATTCATGTTTCTGTGATGAATCAAACTAAATGGTCCTTTTCTTGCAATTCTTGTTATTTTCTTCCCTCAACTTCCATATAGTATTATCTAATAATTGAAGGATGTTTATGTCACAGGTGGTTCGCTAAACGATTCTTGCATCCTGATATAGTTGCAGATTATGAGTATATATTTCTTTGGGACGAAGATCTTGGTGTTGCTCATTTCAGTCCTCGAAAGTAATTCCACCAAATTTAGGTTTTGTTTCTTTTTTTTCTTTCTTATAAGCTTTTCTTGCTTTTCGTTTACGTGATGAAACTATTATACTTTTAGATATCTATCTATTGTCAAAGAAGAAGGTCTTGAGATATCGCAACCGGCTCTGGACACTACAAAATTAGAAGTGCATCATCCTATAACCGCTCGTCGCAAGAACTTAAAAGTTCACAGGCGGATGTATAAAAACAAAGGTAGTGGGCGATGTGATGACCATAGCACCAATCCTCCCTGCATCGGGTAAAAATGCTTTACGATATTTCACAAAATGTTCTTGAAAAGATCTTTCTCTCAAGTCAAAATGTAACTTGGATTTGCAGGTGGGTAGAAATGATGGCACCTGTTTTCTCTAGAGCAGCATGGAGATGTTCTTGGTATATGATTCAGGTAAAGTTGGTTTAGGTTCATATTTGGTTCTGTTTGGTTTATATTTGTATGATTTGAGGGTTTCAATGCTTTTTGTTTTTCGATGCAGAACGATTTGATCCATGCTTGGGGTTTGGATATGCAGCTTGGATATTGTGCTCAAGTTGGTTTCTTCTTTTAACTCTCTAGTTTCTTTAGCTTTCTTGATCCGTTTTCATAAGCCTTTACTTCCTCGATTGTGCTGGTTCTTAGTGTAACATGCTCTCTTCTTGGTCGTGGATAGGGTGATCGGAAGAAGAATGTAGGTGTTGTTGATGCAGAGTACATAGTTCATTATGGTCTTCCCACACTCGGTGTGGTTGAGACAGCTTTAAGCTCTGTGAAGAATGAGACAAACGCGAAATCATCAGTACGAGCCTCTTCTTCAAGTGTTTGTTATATGTTTCTTGAAGCAGAGTTTTTTTTTTGTTTTTAATAACTTGTTTTTTTTTTCTTTTGGGAAGATTTCACTGGAATCATCAGAGTCACATGAAGTGGATAATAGACCAGAAGTGAGGATGAAATCATTTGTAGAGATGAAGAGATTCAAGGAACGTTGGAAGAAAGCTGTCAAGGATGATAGATGTTGGGTCGATCCGTATTGAAATTTGAAACTCAGGCGGTTTAAGTATACCGAACTAAACCGGATTACCTTTCACAGATAGTGTTGAGTATGTTTTGTAGTCCAATGTATACCATTATTTTGGTACATAGATTGTGTTTTACTGGTGGGACAAAGTTCAGTGTACTTGTGTATTCTGTGAGTAGATTTATTTATTTTATTTTTTGTAATATCTTATACAATTTTTTTTGTACTTGTTAAATATTTGATGGTTAGAAATCCAGTTGCATTACCCCCTGATTTATTACCAATTTCACTTTACTATGTGGACAAATGAAGTATCACAACTACAAATTAGTTTGTAAAATAAATTAAATGATGATGATGGATTTAAAAACAATAACAATAATAGGTTGTTGCTGAAAAAAAAAGAAATATATATATACAACTTATATTCATCTTAAATAACTTATGAAATATTTATCTTTCTGTAATTGATTTATTTTTCGTATTTCTTTGGGTAACAAGATACAATGTACATATTGTAATTTGGGTAATAATATAACAACTGTCAATGACACTAATTAACATAAACCATTAGATTACTAGATTACATGTGCATAGAATTATTTTTTGGTAGCCATGGAAATATGGAATAGCGCTCTTATATATGAAAACTAGAGAAACACTTATGGAAAAATTAACCAAAAAAAAACTAGAGAAAAACTTCTTATTATAAATTTCTTATACTTTAAGGAATATTCGAGTGGTGGTGTTGGAGGTGAAAACCGTACTCCGGTTTTCTCTGATACAAACCGAGATCGGCATAACATAAGTCCGGTTTACGAAAGGATGTACCGAGAAAGATGGGCTGAGTGAAACATTGGGCCGAACACAGTCCAATAGGCCGAGATTGGTGAGAAACCTCTCGAAGGAATGGAAGGTTTCCCTGAGCTCGGTCGAAATAGGAAAGTTTCCTAACGGAAAAAGGAAACCTCAGAGAGAAAAGGAAAGGAACCGAGAGAAAAGGAAAGTCTTCTCGGTCCCATATCGTCGAAGATGTATTTGAAGACCGACTCAAAAGATATATATAAAGGGAGACGAATCGACACCAAAAAAAACACAAGATATTCCCGAGAAGACTTAGAGACTGAGAACTCATTCTGCTAGATTCTTAGTTTCGATAGGTCTTAGTTCGTTATTACTTACCTGAATAACCGAACTCAGTTGTATTTGTCTGATTTGATCTAATAAAAACCGAGCTTCCGATCTAAAAGTATTGTTCCGTCCCTTGTCGATATTCACATATCAACAATTGGCGCGCCAGGAAGGGGGACTTAAACAGATTTCTCAAGTTTTAGATCGGACTTCGGAAAGATTGAATCAGCGATGGCAGACCAAGCCAACAATCACGAAGAAGAAAACCCTTTCGGTGGAGAGAACGCTAACGTCCCAACAGAACAAGGAGGAGGAACTCCTGGAGAAAACGCTGGAACTGTAGCCGGCCAAACCCCCGCAGCCGTAGGAGGTTATGGAACCGAACTACTGCTCCAAGTGTTCAATGCCCAGTTTGAGGCCATCAATAAAAGAAGCGAGGAGCGCTTCAGTCAGATGGCGGCACAAATCGTCGAGCTCAGTCAAGCACGAACTCCTAACATCATTGACGATCTTAATACCGACGGAGATCCAGCCGGAACTATGAGGTCTACTGCAGTCGGGTCAGCGAATGCACCAACATCGGATTTAAGCCGAGAACTCCGAGCTCGAAGCAATGAAGGCGCAGCTTCGCGATATCACTTCAAAGATACATCAAGCAACAAGCGCGGCTCCGGAAATCGAGCGCGTCATTCAGGAAACGCAGAAAACACCCTTCACACCGCGCATAGCAGGGACGCCGGTCAAACACATGGAGAAACTGAAGATAAAAGTCTACGAGGGCAATTCTGACCCCCGACACTTCTTTACATCGTTCGGCATCTGCATGAACCGATACCAGTTCAAATCAGCCGAAGAGAGAGACGCAGTTCAGTGTCAACTATTTGTGGAAAGCTTGGGAGGAGTAGCTCTCGACTGGTTCTCGCGACTCGAAGCCAATTCAATCGATAACTACAAGGAGTTAACGACGGCTTTCGTCAAACACTTTTCCATGTTCATTGGACAGAACACCAAGAACTCCGAGCTCTGGCAAATAGCCCAAGGACCAAGCGAGAGCCTTCGTGATTTCATCCAGCGCTTCAAGACGATCGTCGCTAATTGTACGATTAGCGATGAAGCCGCTCTCCTATGTCTTCAGAAAGGAGTTCGGATAAAGACTAGCTTCCGGAGCGCGATCACCCATAACCCTCCACAGACATTAGAAAACGCGTTGCACCGAGCTAATACTTACAACGCCGAAGAGGAAGAAGAAGCCGCTTACGAGCTGAGTTATTCAACGAAGCAACCCGAACGTCCGAAAACCGCAACTAATGAGCCGCAATCGGGATACGGTCGAGGGTATGATAATCGCAAGAAGTTCTATGCTAATGCAATCCAACGACCGAACAAACAATGGAACAATAAGTGGGTCCGCGGTGAAGAAGATCAAGACAAATCATTGTTCTGCGAGTTCCATAACCGTAGGGGCCACATCACCGAAGAATGCAGACATCTGCGAGAATACCTACTCGGCCTATATCGAAAGGAACCGATCTCGGTCGACGATCTCCGACGTTCGAACGCGTCTAAGAGCGGCGGGCAACTTTCGATTGACGATCTCTGTCGTTCATATATGCCTCGACCAAACAATGAACAGCTTGAGAAAGCACTCGCCAAAGATCCACCAACTCCACCGGATTTACCGACGTTACCACCGCCACCACCGAATCCGCCTGTTTTGCCCGAGCAACAGAAACGGAATCGTGATGACCGAACACCAGAGAATCACGCTCCTAAGGCGCGGAAACGTGTCAACATGATAATAGGGGCAATCGAAGCTTGCAGTTATTCGGTTCGAGCCATCAAAGAGTACAGCAGACAGGCTGCCAGCGCACCCAAAGCCCCGCAGGATCCGCCGAAGGGAACACCCTTGGTGTTTACCGAGGCCGATACAATCGGGCTGCATAAACCGCATAACGATGCCCTCGTCGTCGAATTACTCCTCGACGATGTTGAAGTTACCCGTATTTTGGTCGATACGGGTAGTTCGGTTAACATTATCTTCAAGGAAGCACTCGACCAGCTCGAGTTGGCATCAGATAGGATTGAGCCGTTTATCGAGCCACTTACCGGTTTCGATGGAGAACGTTGTATGACGGTCGGCATAGTCAATATTCCGATCTACCTCGGCGGAGTCGCAAAGATTATCCAGTTCCTTATCCTCGATAAACCAGCGATCTACAACGCTATTCTCGGTACACCTTGGCTACACGTGATGAAAGCGGTCGCCTCGACGTACCATCAGTGCCTAAAGTTCCCGCCCGACGGTGTTTACACTCTCCAAGGAAACCAAGTCGTTGCTCGATCGTGCTACATAAACGAGTGCAGACTTCATTCGGCCAACCAAGCTTGTGTCATTAGTTCGTTAGGACCAACAGACAAGCTCGTCGTCCAGCAGACAAAACCTAAACAGGAATCGATCGTTCAAGTTTGCATCGACGAACTAAGGCCAGAGCGTCAAGTCGGAATCGGCGCCGAGCTCGATCCAGTCATCCGCGAGCCACTCATTCACTTTCTGAAACAGCATTCATCAACCTTCGCTTGTTCGGTAGAAGATATGCCCGGGATCGATCCACAGATCGCGTGTCACGAGCTCAACATTGATCTGACGTATAAGCTAATCAAGCAGAAACGCCGAAAGCTCGGACCAGAGAAAGCACAAGCAGTGAATGATGAGGTCGAGCGGTTACTCAAAGCCGGATCCATCACCGAAGTCAAGTACCCAGATTGGTTAGCAAACCCCGTGGTCGTAAAGAAGAAGAATGGTAAATGGAGGATATGCGTCGATTTCCTCCATAGCCCAAGTCAATCCGGACGACTCGCCAAGTGGGCCATCGAACTTAGCGAATACGACATCGAATACCGAGGAAGAACTGCAACGAAATCCCAAGTCCTGGCAGATTTCTTGGTTGAACTCCCACCGGAGCTCGTCGAAGCTAATCCGGTCGTACAACCCTGGATCCTTCACGCGGATGGTTCCTCGTCTCATAAAGGATATGGAGTCGGAATTCGTCTCAAATCACCCGAAGGAGAAGTTATCGAGCAGTCATTTTGACTCGGTTTCTCGGCATCTAATAACGAAGCCGAGTACGAAGCATTGATTGCCGGACTACGACTTGCCAAAGGTATCGGCACCGAGCATGTGCACGCCTACTGCGATTCTCAACTCGTGGCTAACCAGTTTCACAGCGAGTACGAGGCCAAGAACGACCGCATGGACGCATATCTCAAAGTCCTCAAGGATGTTGCTTCGGAGTTTTCTACCTTCGAACTTACAAAGATACCTCAAGATGAGAACGCAACCGCCGACGCCTTAGCCGCTCTCGCGACTAATTCTGATCCCGATCTTCGGCGAACTATCCCAGTTGCAGCAATCGAGCGACCAAGTATCGAGCCCACTCCGAACTGCAGTATCATTACAAGACGGCGTGATTACGAAGCCCAACCCAATCTCGCTCCACCCCTCACCCGGAAGACGAAACCCAAAGAGGTCATTCCCGATCTCAATAACGACACGGACGAACTCAATGATAACGAATCCGATCCCGAGGACGAATCCGAAGACCAACATGTTACAATCAATATCGAAGCCGAAGGAGATGACAAACCCGAAGATTGGACCTTAGAGATTGTGGGATACATCGGAGACAGAACAGTTCCCGCAGATAAATGGGCAGCTCAGCGCCTTAAGGCTCGCGCGACTCGATATGTGGTCATTAAAGGTACTCTCCTCAGATGGGATGCGTCCGGTGTACTCTTGACTTGCGTTCACGGCAACGACATCACGGAAGTAATGCAGAAGGTCCATGAAGGAGAAGGAGGAAATCACTCCGGAGCTCGGTCTTTGGCATTTAAGATCAAAAAAGCTGGCTATTACTGGCCTACTATGCTCTCTGATTGCGAGAAGTATACGGCACGCTGCGAGAAGTCATGGTCCAATGATCAATCTTCCTACCGAGCTCCTGATGACCTCGACCGCACCGTATCCTTTCATGCGCTGTGCAATGAATATTATCGGTCCCTTTCGCCGATCTACAACTCAGAAGCAATATGTTTTGGTCGTCACAGACTACTTCACCAAATGGGTTGAAGCCGAAGCATACCCCGAGATTCATGGAATCGATGTCAAGAAGTTCGTCTGGAAGTTCATCATCTGCCGACACGGAGTCTCGTACGAGATCGTTACGGACAATGGAACCCAGTTCACTTCGATCATTTTCACAGATTTTTGTGCCAAGTGGAAGATTCGACTAAGTTTCTCTACCCCGCGATACCCGCAAGGAAACGGACAAGCCGAAGCCACAAACAAGACCATTATTGATGGACTGAAGAAACGACTCGATACCGTTAAGGGAACTTGGGCGGATGAACTTGATGGCGTCTTGTGGTCTCACCGAACTACACCACGACGTTCGACCGGTCAGTCACCATTCTTCCTTGCATATGGCACAGAAGCTATGTGTCCAGCCGAACTCAACGTCCCAAGTATTCGCCAAACTATGCTTACCCAGCAACCCGACGCGAATAACAACATGATGATTGACGCACTCGACTTAGTCGAAGAACACCGCGAACGAGCATTGCTCCGAATACAGAACTACCAGCAACTTGCAGCTCGCTACTACAACAAAAAGGTTAAAGGCCGTCACTTTGAAGATGGTGATCTCGTACTGCACAAAGTCTATCAAAATACAGAAGAAAAGAACGCAGGAAAACTTGGTGCGAACTGGGAAGGACCGTACCAAGTGATGAAGGTGGTTAAGCCCGGCGTTTATCAACTTATGAAGTTAGACGGAACTCCGATCCCGCAATCTTGGAACTCAATGCATCTCAAACGCTACTACTACTAGTTCGTTGCTTTTTCCTAAAAAAAAAAAAAACACTTTTGTACTTAGAACTACGAATGGCTTGATCCCTTTAAAGGGTACGTAGGCAGCTCGTTACCGAGTCCAACTATAACATCAATAAAATTTTATTATGTCAAATCTGTCTAAGATCTAGTTCAGAAATCACAAGGTACCGAACTCCTTGTTCTTACATCGACTTCCTGGCCAGTTGTTCGATAGCATTCCACATGAATGCAAACTTAAAAGCCGTGATCCTTCTCGCGAGCACCCACATGGTGCCGTGGTAAAACCACATGTTAAAAGCCGGGCCCAGTCCCGCAGTTAAATTTCTAAGTCACCAAGAACAATAAGCCGAGCACATCTCGCATACTTAGGTTCGACTTAAAAAACCTTGAACTCGTTTCGTGCGTTTACAGGAGTTCGAGTTAATTCACTCTTCCAGTACGAAACGATTCATTTGGGTTCCCCAGGCCGAGCTTAAACGCTCGCACAATAAGCCGAACTCCTCAGATTCGCACCATAAGCCGAGTTCACAACACTCGCAAGACGTAAGCCGAATTATCGCAATTCGCTATCGAAAAAATAAAATTTATGTTCGAATATCATCTACTATATACCGAACTAGTACTTAAGCATTAATCACAAATCATTACCGACGTAAGAGGGTCGAAAGTTAAGTTAGATACCGATCTACTACTTAAAGGATTTTCTAAGTTATCAAGACAAGAAAGAAGACGAACGAGCATATAATTAAAAGCCTCCCGAGAGACAAATAAGTTCAAAAGGAACTCACCGAGGGTTCAGAGAAACATAAATATTACAAAATAACCCATGAAAGGGCAGTTAAGTTCGATTAAAAAGAAAAAGAGAAAGACTAAGCAGTCTTCGAAGTAGCAGCCCGATCAGCGTTAAGGATGTCCTCGTTGGAACCAAACTGCTCGCCCCTCGCAGGATCCTGCGCGCTCTGGGTCACGTTCGCGGCCGGAATGTCATCCTCTTCCACGAATGGAGACATCCGCTTATCCTCTTCAGTAAGGACGCAAGCATCGACCGAGCGGAAGTCCTCCAAAGATTTAGCATGTTTTGCCTCGATGTCAGCCACCATCTCAGGCAGGACCTTGTACAAGCCTTTTTTCTTGAGCTGCTTGCTGAAGCCGAGAACTCCGGTGAGCTGGTTGACCACCAGGTATGGCTTACGAGCTCGATCAGCATCGTCTAAGCTCTGGATGACTTTCTCTAAGCGCTCCCAGGCCTTCGCGTGAACGCTGTTAGCTCGATTCTTCCAGTGCGATACCAAATCCCGCAGCCGCTCTCGATCCTTCTCGAATTCTTGAACAAGCATGTTCTGGGCCTCGGTGAGCTCCTTTCTCACCGCTTTTAGTTCAGCACTCTCTTGCTTCAGTAAATCAACTGAAGAATGGAGAGTGTCGTTGATTTGGAGCTCGGTGGCAAGGCGCTCTTCTGCTTTGGAGACCCTTTCCACGAGTTCAGCAACCCTAACTTGCTCGTCATAGAGAGCTACCTCGTACGTGGCAAAAATAAAACATGGGTTAGAACTCATACTTACGAAAAATATCAAAATAAAGAAAAGGAATAGAGGAAGTACCACGGTTGTTGTGCGAGCAATCCCCTTGTACAACTTGGGGAACCGAAGCTCGGAGATAGCCGGAAGACTCGGCACATCAGAGGAGATCTTGTGATAAAGATCGGCGCAAGCGTCGACGTTCTCCTCAAAAGGACCCTCTTCGTCGTAATCAAAGCACACCTTGGTCCTTTTGGCTGGCTCCGGTCCTGGAGAGCCTTCGGCTTGGTCTCTCATCTGCCTCTTCCGAGAGTGAGAAGCTTCAGCCTGGTTGTGAGGAATTGCGAGGTCCGACGTCGCGATTGTAGGAGGCTCGAGCTCGATAGCTGCGTCCTGTGCTCGAGAAGAGTCTTCAATCTTCTTAATCTTTTTTGAAGATTTCTTTTTCTTCAGCTTCTTCTGACCGGCTTGGTCAGGTGAGTTCGCAGCAGGTGGCAACTCCTCCGGCTGCTCATTGATCCCTCCGGTAGCAGGGATTGGGGTCGGATCAGCCACGTTCGGTTCTTCTTCGCCAAAGAGAGTTGGGATCTCGTCCAATGAGAGCATCCTTGCAGCTCGGGTCTGTTGGGCTCGCGACTTAGGTGTTTTTCGTCTTGGAGCAGCTCGAGGCTTGTTAGCTCGAGCTTTCGGCTTCCGCGATTTCGGTTCCCAGACAGAAGCTGCAATGAAAATATGTCAAGGACGAGTTCGGTGTAGACTCAAGATAAGAACATGAAAGTAAGCTCGATGATCAAACCTGCTTTCTTAGATCGGCGTTGGAGAATCTCTTCCCACACCTCAGGCCAACGACGCTTACCGGCTTTGCTGAAGGCTGCTTCGAACTCAGAAGTAAGCCCGGAATTGAGAATAAGACTTGGAAGATGACGACCTGCAAAGATGAAACGAAGTAAGGTTAGCAAACAACAAAGTCGGAACTTAATTGAGTATGAGATCATCTAATCTACCAATCGGAATCTTCCACTCCGATTGAGTTGGTATGTCAGAATTGCTGACGGTGAGATCGTTCATTTCGAGATAAAAATACAAGGATTCCCAGTCGTTGAATTTACTGGGTTTAGGCCCAGTAACTATGTTCTTCTTCGGCTTAGCGTTTGCGGCGAAGAACCACTCCTTGGATTTGTGGATGTTCACCGAGAAGAGGTCCTCAAACAGTCGACTGAAGGGGATCTCACCAAGCTCCTCGCATAAGGTAACGAACCCTATGTAGTTCGTTACCGAGGCTGGCATCACCTGTGTAAGACCTACACCGCGCCGGTTGCAGTACCCGAGGAGACGAGAGGGAATAGGAAGCGAGAGCCCGCACTGCGTGAAATAGGTCAAGTAGATGCAGAGGAAACCTTCGGGCACGTCCCACGGCCGATCTCCAGCTTCGGGAATTATGAAAGCAACCTGGTCCGAGAGCCCATTTTCTTCGAGCATGGCCTGAATAGCACCCGAGGTAACCGAGGAAGATGGTACGTTGTTGGGACGAACGATCCTTCGTCTTGGAAGCGGTGGTGAAGCGTGGTTCACAGCATCGAGGTTGTCCTCGGCAACCTCTTCCTCAGTAGCGTTCTCTTCCTCATTCTCTCCTTCAGGTTCTTCGATCTCCTCGATCTCATGATCATTACCGCTAGCGTTCGGCCCGGTCCGAGCTACCATTTCACGAGTCTCTGTAGTCAGGTGCTCGGTGGCTTCAACCCTAGGTCTAGCACGGCTGCTGCCAGCTTCCACCGACTTGGAGTTCTTACGAACTAACTGTGGAGGATTGCTCTCTTCCTGAGACGAACTCGATTGATGAGGATTTGAAGAGGAGGAGCTCGGCTCTGAGGGTTCGCGGCGATTTTCCGGAAGGATTTGATTGGAAGAAGAGTTAATAGAGGAACTAGAAGACATTTTGAGCTCGGAAGAGTAGATTCGAAGGAGATATAAGAAGAATGAAGAACAGCTTGAAGATCAACCGGAAAAGATTGAAAATTGATCGGAAAGTTTGAAGATCGAACGGGAAGTTTGAAGATTGATCGGAAAAATCGAAGGTTTGCGGCGGCGAAAGATGAAGAAACGAGATAGAACTACGAATACAAACTAGAGAGAGAAACAAAAAGCTAGAGAGAAGGGAGAGCAGCATACCTTATATATGCTTGAGTGAGAGTAATGAATGTGAAAAGGAGTTTTCCCCTTTATAAACACTGGAAATTGTGGGTTCCTCGATTTCCGCGAAAATCCAGTAATTCACGCGCCTCATTGAAGACAGGCGCGAAACGTCCGGGAATGTGAATCGACAGCAGTTGCCGAGCTCGGTATGTGATCCGATAATCGAAGAAACAAGTTCGACTGAAAGTCACCTCCTTTCACCGAACTGAGGGGGGGGGCTAACTGTTGGAGGTGAAAACCGCACCCCAGTTTTCTCTGGTACAAACCGAGATCGGCATAACATAAGCCCGGTTTACGAAGGGATGTACCGAGAAAGATGGGCCGAGTGAAACATTGGGCCGAACACAGCCCAATAGGCCGAGATCGGTGAGAAACCTCTCGAAGGAATGGAAGGTTTCCCTGAGCTCGGTCGAAATAGGAAAGTTTCCTAACATAAAAAGGAAACCTCAGAGAGAAAAGGAAAGGAACCGAGATAAGGAAAGTCTTCTCGGTCCCATATCGTCAAAGATGTATTTGAAGACCGACTCAAAGAATATATATAAAGGGAGACGAATCGACACCAAAAAAAACACAAGATATTCCCGAGAAGACTTAGAGACTGAGAACTCATTCTGCTAGATTCTTAGTTTCGATAGGTCTTAGTTCGTTATTACTTACTTGAATAACCGAACTCAGTTGTATTTGTTTGATTTGATCTAATAAAAACCGAGCTTCCGATCTAAAAGTATTGTTCTGTCTCTTGTCGATATTTACATATCAACAGGTGTTCTGTCTCTTGTCGATATTCACATATCAACAGGTGGTGTATGGTGAATGGCGATGATTGTCAATTTTTATTGGGACACACTTAATTGTGGTACCCAAATTAGTTTAGGAGGTCGATGGCACTAAAAAGTGGGTCCAAACTTCTATTTTCCTCATATCATTAACCGGGGAACAGATGTTCGAATTGTGGTAATATAAGTCATATACACATGTGACATGCATGTATTACAATAGGTAAAAATACTAACTATAGGTCTTGCGTAACAAAGTTATTTTACAATTACATGTGGTCTTGGCGTCTTGCGTAATTAAGTCAATTCACAATTACATGTGACATGTTATATACACATTACGAGAAAACCTTGCCTAACTATTATTAAACTATTGAACGTAAATTATTATTTGTCATCATTTAATTAAACGGTAAAAACACGAAAGCTTAATATGGTCACATGGATAAAATTGTATATTCAAAATTTATTTTTTTCTTTCTTTTTTGCAAATGAACTTAGGTTTATGAAATTTGGCAGTTGGTTGTCGCGACGATTATAAGAATCAATAAGATTGATAAAACATATAAGAATGGAAAAGTAAGATGTGGGAAATCTATAATTGCTGAATTTTATTGATTTTAAATTGGTCAAATCTTCTAATATTATGATGAGAATTATGTCAAAGTCGCACTGTTTGTTTAGACGTAGAAGTCAAAATCTTGTAATTGGTCAATTTTTTTGTTTGTTTTGTTAAGTAGGAACTCAAATCTTATACTGTAGGACTCTTACATTTATATATAGTCAAAGGCTTCCTACAGATAACTACATGACTCAACGCTATTTACTTCTCCTTTTTTGTAGGTAAGCTAACGAACTCATTAATTTTCACATGCACATAAATCAGTCTTACCTTATTTAACTCGTCGTAACTCTTGAAAGGATTTCATATATTACGAAACACAGATTTTTACATCATTGTTGGAATAGCAGACAAATAATAAATTATCAGAAGATAACACACAAAAAAAAGAAAGGAAGAGGATAAAATTAGTAATCTAAGAATCCCAAATGGGACCAAAAGCAGGAACACCAGAAGCCTTACAAGCATTAACAACATCACGACTTCCTTCAGGATTGCTAGTAACAATTACAACTTGAGCTCCAAACTTCTTGGAAGCTTCCACGGTCATTTTCGACACATTTGGTCGTCCAAGAATCGCAGTATCGTGAACTATGATCCTGTCTTGATGAGGATAATTTGCAATCCTGTTCACGATTTCCGAACCGAAATTCTCATCCAATCCTTTAGCCACCCATATCAGATATACCTCAGCCTTACTCTGCTGCATGAGAAACGATAAAAATACACAAATCCCCGATCCGGTGGCCACAAGTAATACCTGTAAAAAAAAACAATATTTTTTTAGTTTATTAACACTCATGATATATAAAGACAAAACAAAAAGAGAATTTAAAATGTTGACAGTCAATATTTTTTTTTCTAGAGAAATTTCTAAAACATTTCCGATTATAAAATTATTAAAATCAATAATAATTGATATGTCGGCGGGTAATTTTTTTGAAAACCGTCAAAAATCCCCCCCCCCCAAAAAACATAACCGTTCAATCTGTACATAGTGAACCCCTCTAATTAAATTTTAGAAAATTTTATTTACCTTGTCATACAAGTTAACGAGGTAAGGTAAACCAGCGAAGTGAACCGTACGGACCCATAAGTGAGTCGGAGGTTTTGAGACTAAAGACTTGGTGAAGTCGCCGACAGCTCCAGCTAACATCATGTGCGATGTCTTCCCATCAGAGATGATCCCAAAAGCGTGCCATTCCGATAACGGAGACGGACTGATCCGACCCAAGATCCCTGATTTCACGCCATCTCTGAATTTGATCAGCGACGCGTGTCCCGATAGAGACGATACGTTAACCGGAACGCGTCTCACGGTTAACCAAGGCAGCAAAATCGCGATGGTGATCGCTAAAGTAAACCAAAACTCTTGCGTTTTGATAAGCTTCGAGCCGAGGTTATCGGTGTAGGTTCTTGATTTCGGGTCGTATGAAATCGTTAGGATTATAAACGCCCAAACAAGGCCTAGAGCTGACCAGCCAGCGAATCTGTGGACGCGTTCGAAGACGTTGTGGTGTAAATGGCGAACAAGAGGAAACGCTGCTAAGGAAGTGAGGCAGAGGAGAGAGAGAATCGCGGAAGCAACCGCTATGATCGCTGTTGAAGTGTTGTCCCTGTCTTTAAGAGTGAGAACCAACGCGTATATGAGCCAGGCGATTGAGGAAACGCCGCAGCCGCTGTGGACGCCACCGAGGCTTTGTAAGAGCGATGTGACCGCGATTTTTATGCGGAGAGGGACGAAAGAGCGTCCGAGGATGTTTACGGTTAGGTAGAAAACGAGTCTCAAGAAGGCTTCGCTTCTGCAGAGAGTTAGGGCAAGAATGTTGGCGATTGAAAACAGAGTTGCTCTGTTTCTAGCGTAGGCGAAATGTCCCGTGGCTGCGAGAACGAGAGCTAGGATGTTTAGAAACAAAGAGAGGACGAAGAGACGCTTGTAAACGGTGAACAATCCTTGATCAAGAAGTATGATGGATAGTCTTGAAGCGCGTTTCTTTGGAATAGGCGGTTGCTGCGGTTTCTCGCTGTGTTTGCTTGCGGAAGAATCAATGATTGCCTTTTCGTCTGTCTCACTGTGTTGTTCGTCTCCTTCCTTGATTCCACCTTCTTCTAGGTAGTAAACATCGTCTTCTTTTTCTTCTTCGTCGTTGTCAGAGTCCAAGTCGCAGAAATGGCTGCTCGCTCGGCTCATGGAGTGTTCCATCGATAAAGGGATAACTTTTGAAGCGTTTCTCATGAAACTCCATGGACGTCGAAACCTGCTGCTCGTTTCCTCGTGTTCGGCGTTTGCGTTGCGGTTGCGGTCAGTAGTAGCGAAAGGGTTTGCATGGGGTGTAATCTCAAACGCGACTCCTCGACAGCTAGAGAATCTCACAGTCGAAGCGTTTTCCATTCTTTTTGCTTTCTCTATTTTTGGTTTCGATTAATTAGGAGCTCAAAAAAAAAAAAAAATAATGTCTTAACAGACAAGGCTAATTAATTGAGCTCTGCTTATCTTGTTGTAGGGCTTGATCTGGTTTCTTGCATGAAGAGCATGCCTCTTTATATAATAGTTTGGTATCACCATATTCAAATTTTCATCATTGACTAAAAAATAAATGCTATTTTTCACGTCATTTTCATTTTCTCCTGTAATATATGAGAAGAGTTCTATTTTTTATTCGTCTACAATTGACTCTGACATTTTTTTTCATTGACTCTGACTTGGAAGCAGCTCTGAATATGTCAAACCACACAATGATTAGTACATTCATGTAAATATGATTAATAGAACTATGGATGGAGCGATAGCTCTTTTCCAAATGTTTTTATGAAAACTAGCTTCTTGAAGAAAATAAATGAAAAGGAGAGATTTAACGAATTTAAAATTCACTGTTGTAATAAATTGAAATTGAATTATCGGCATTTTTGGTCATATTTTAAATTAATTTTCTTTTGCTATAATCACATTTACGTAACATATAGTCATATAGAGATACCTAATTTGCAATGAAGCCCAATTTAGTACGATAAAAAACAAAATCCAGTTACATATATATATACGAAAATAACTGATGTATTCTTTCGTGTTGAGCAGTATATATATAATGTGACTTTCGATGGTCTTTAAATATATGCGCAAATAAAAAATATCAGTTTATGCAATATTTTCGATGGTCTTTAAATAATGTGACTTTCTTGCATATGCCATGCAAGTAAGCCTCTAGTCGTGGATTGTTTAGTTATATGAAGTAATTTGGTCATAGAGTGATACATTCAAATTTTTAGATTCAAAATATCTTAAAAAGAAATACAACGTGAAACATATGCATTTAAATATACAGTCTTTTCCAAACATCAACATCCACTTGACAAACAAAACAAAAAAAAAATTCAGAAATAAAAATCTTCATTATCATCAATCTCATGGTCCAATAATTCCAAGATCCATCGTCTTGTTGGATCATACCTTTGTTTTTTAGAACCCTCCAATGTCCTGGGATCATACATTCGTCTTTTAACCCATCGACAGATTTATTGACCAATCCAATGTCTCTTTTCACATCGAGTCTGAACAAGTCAGATTTGGTCGTCCCTTGAGTTCCAGCAACGCCGTGCAAGTAAGCCTCTAGGCAGTGAAACGTCGCAAAATTTCCCGGAGATTTCATGTATTGTGACTTTCTTGTGTCTATTGGAAGCTCGGCGTAACCTAAAGGTGGATAGATCGGAACTACGTCCGGTAAATTCCTTATTCGTAAGACTCGGAGATCTTGCAATCTGTTTTAATTGCATTATAAGTCACGTTAACATTTGAAAAATGAAAAGAACGTACCATATATGCAAAATAAAACTATAGGACTTTTCTTAACATTTAACAGAAAAAAAAACTATAGGACTTTTTATTGTATGTTTTATTCAACTAGTCCTTTAAAATTACATATATACCCGATGTTTAAAGATTAATTTTTGAATTTCGGCTCATTTAAAAATCTCATTTAAAAATCAATGAAAAAGGGTAATATTTTTGTTAACAGATGACAATATAGTGTTGTAAACATAAATCGTTTTAGCTAGACGTACCCGTAAAATAACTTCATAAAGTCCGAATCCCCAACACGAGGACTAGCAAAGACAAAGGCCGGGACAAGATTTGTCAGGACGGCTCTTTGATCGGTTATAACCATTAGCCACAATATCCGTCGCATTAAGCGTTGCAAGCGCAGCTCCAAGGCTATGACCACAAACATTTATACTAACCTCTTCCTCCTTACTTCTCTAACAACCTCCCAATCTCTCGCTTGAATTATCCGAATTTGCTGAATTTAAATTTTACTGTTGTAATAAATGGAATTCGATTGAATTATCAGCATTTTGGTCATATTTTCGATTATATTTACTTTACATATGTAATTTACTGTTTTAATATATCAGTTATCTTTCATATGCACCAGATATCTTCTTTTTTTTTTTTGAAATTATGTTAAATTATTATTAAAAAAACTGTTTTCTTTACATTAACTTGTTTGAGAAGATAATAAAAGAAATATGATCAAATCCTTGTAAGCGTTATAGCAAATGATTTGTGCAGCTCCTTGCGTGCAATATCATCTCCTGGAGCCAAACCAGATCTCTAACTCATCTTCGTAAAGGTGATTCTCTGCAAGTCGCAGAGAACTGAGCCGATTACGCACCGTTTTGTCTAGAATACGGATTAAGTTATGCACCTGCGATGGTGTTTCGCCATGTCTGCGACCATTTCGTTCTTTCCAGATCAGGGATAGGGAGGCTTGAAACTATGCACCAGATATCTTCGAATTTCGATAATACTTTACTGTGTTTCTTTCACGCTTGATTATCAGTTTAAACAGTAATTAGCCCATAAAAATAAGATGTATCGCTTAAAAGGAAATTATTTATCAATTAGACTTTTATTTTTATTTTTTTCAAAATACCGCTTATACTTATGAAATATTTTATTTTTAGTGTGTGCAAAGAGTCTTGAATATTACAAAATCCATACTATAATATGTAAGAATTTATGAGTCTTTATTTTGTAGGGATCTGTTTCGATGGATTTCAATGTTCTCTAATTCGGGCGAGATTCCTCTCTCCCGGTCTCTCCCTTCCCTCGTCTCCATCAATTCCTTGTCAGGTTTTATTTCTTAATTCCTCTTTTGATTGGATTAGTGTTTCACGCTTAAACCATAGTTTTTTGGATGAACTAATACCGCAGCTTTTGGTCTCCATATTTTTTGTATACTGTTTTCATGATTGCTTTGGTTTCATAATTGTTAGAAGCAAATTAATGCCCCAAAGCCCTTCACATCTGTGTTTTAAGCACTTTGTGTATTAAGAACTTATTTAAGCTATGTTATAATCACATACTTGTTTTAGTCTATGTTTAAGCATTTGTGTTTTAAAAACTTACACTTCGCATCTGTGTGTTTAATCACTTATTTCACATCTGTGTTTTAAAAACTTAAATCTGTGTTTTAAGCACTTACACTTCACATCTATGTGTTTTAAGCACTTACATTTCACATCTATGTGTTTTAACCACTTCACATCTATGGTTGGATCTAGAAAACTGCTCAATACATGTACAAGAAGGGTCTGTATATCAACGAATCAAAATGGCCCTGAAACAAAGAAATTATATCGTGACCTGTAACCATGATCAGAGCTATATTTGCTAGATATATTATACACATTACTGAAGAAAATGCAAAGAAATTGAAAATAATCAAGGTTACAACCTTTGTTATATAGAGTAAGTATTCAAATACATAGTATTCAATATTATTTTAAAATTAATGATTGAACTTCAAATTGTATTTTTTTTTTTCAGATGATGATGGTAACAAACCACCATCAAATAGATACACATTATTCGTGAAATAAAGAAATGATTACTCTAGCCTGATGGAGTTCGGATATGTTATCGGGCATAGGAGGCAAAGCGTACTGCAGCTAGAGAATATTGAAGTTGTTGGTGAAATCAGACAGCTTATTGGAGATGGACGCTTTTAGCTCGAGGTTCAAATGGGTGGCCACTTCCACCCAGCGGAGAAATCTCGCTAGGCGTATCAGCTCATCATATGCATGGACAAGCACCGGGTTTGCATCCAACACTTCAGTTGTGAGCGAATCCTTTATGCTATGAATGCTATCAAAAATATAATTCTTTCAAACCTTTCATCATGTCTTTTGACCCACTCATAGAAACTCAGGTATTCTGGTGAGGCTACAAATCTGTCGGTCCTTTTCAGATATTCGAAGCAAGTTGCTAGAAAATGGGATGGACTACCACACAAGCCGCAAAACAATGCTGACATTGTTGACATGTGAGATCCATTATGTTGTTACAGTCTAAGATGACAAAATCTTCCTCACGGGGTCAAATATCCGTTCACACGCTCACCAAATTCAGCTTTTACCAAAACCGTTACAAAGTCCTCCAATCAAGCCACCTGTCAGAGCTATCGCCAACGCATCACACCTTTAATTTGAATGTCGTGGCCGTATATTTTCTAGCAGAGCTACCGTGCCAAGGCATCGCACGCACCTTCGTTTTGGCCATGTGAGATGAAGAAATCGTTGGTGGCTTTTTCCAGCATAAGAAAAAGAGAATTGATAAGAAACACCAAGTGGAATGAGGATTTGCGGATGCAAAAAAAAAACATCCCATGAAAAATCGATGAGTTGAAATCATCCTTGATAATAGTTAGAGAGAAAGGAAGAGATTTTCAAGCGTGAGCCAGAGTTCATGGGCAGAGCAATCAGTCCATTAAATAACATGCATCGCTTAAAACAAATAAATTATTTACCAATTCTACTTTTATTTTATTTTCTTTTCAAAATACCTCTTATACTTATAAACAATATTTTTCTTTTTGTGTGTACAAAGACTATTAAATATTATTAAATCCATACGATAATAAGAATTTCTGACTCTTTTGTAGGGATCTGTTTCGATGGACGAATGTATTCTGAATTTCAATGTTCTGAAGAAAATTAAAAAAAGTATTTGATGTATTTAAAATGTGTATAAGAAGCTTACTTGGTAAACAGATTATGAAACTTCATAATCCTGACTCTTTAAATCAATAACTACGTTGTATTGTAAATAAAAAAACATATATCTTAACTTTGGTCAACTAATTTGTTTTCTGGTATCTCTCTCTCTCTCTCTCTGGACTGTGTCATTTGCTCATTCAATTCACGATGTGTGATGACGCTGTGCAACTGGACGGAGAATTTTCAAACTGAACTTCATTTCATTTATATCATGATTTCAATCAATTAATCATAGCATGAGAGTTGCATTGACGTTTACCAGCAAAAATGTTTAGTTTATTAAGTTTTCTAATTATAGATCTTTCATTATTACTTTAGTCGTGGATGGTTTGATAATATTAAGCGATTTGCTCATAGAGTGATGATACATTCAATTTTTTATATTCAAAAATATCTTAAAAAGAAATACAACGTGAAACTTTGGCCCAAAAAGAAAAAAAGAAATACAACGTGAAACATATGCATTTAGAAATACAGTCTTTTCCAAACATCAACATCCACTTGACAAACCAAAACAAAAATCAGAAATAAAAATCTTCATTATCATCAATCTCATGGTCCAATAATTTCCAAGATCCATCGTCTTGTTGGACCATACCTTTGTTTTTAAGAACCCTCCAATGTCCTGGGATCATACATTCGTCTTTTAACCCATCGACAGATTTATTGACCAATCCAATGTCTCTTTTCACATCAAGTCTAAATAAGTCAGATTTGGCCGTCCCTTGAGTTCCAGCAACGCCGTGCAAGTAAGCCTCTAGGCAGTGAAACGTCGCAAAGTTTCCTGGAGATTTCATGTATTGTGACTTTCTTGTGTCTATTGGAAGCTCGTCTCCGACTTCGGCGTAACCTAAAGGTGGATAGATCGGAACTACGTCCGGTAAATTCCTTATTCGTAAGACTCGGAGATCTTGCAATCTGTTTTAATTGCATTACAAGTCACGTTAACATTTGAAAAATTAAAAGAACGTACCATGCAAAATAAAACGAGGACTTTTATTGTATGCTTTTTTTCACCAAACTATAACAAAATTCGCGTAATCCTAACACTCATTAATATAACACGATGTTTAAAGATGAATTTTGAATTTCGGCTTATTAAATAATCAATGAAAAATGGTAATATTTTTGTTAATAGATGACAATTTAGTGTTGTAAACATAAATCGTTTTAGCTAGACGTACCCGTAAAATAACTTCATAAAGTCCGAATCACCAACACGAGGACTAGCAAAGACAAAGGCCGTAACGGGACAAGATTTGTCAGGACGACTCTTTGGTCGGTTATAACCATTAGCCACAATATCCGTCGCATTAAGCGTTGCAAGCGCAGCTCCAAGGCTATGACCACATACAGTTATACTAACCTCTTCCTCCTTATACTTCTCCAACAACCTCCCGATCTCTCGCAATACCTTTTTCATTTCCAAAGATTTCTTTCACAGATTCAATTTCTCAACAAAAAACAAAAAAATACCACAAGGGCAAAATCACCAATGTTAAACAAGTGACATATAAACATACCTGGTCACGAGCATTGGCCTTATTAAAATGTGAACGTTCGTCTTGAGACATGTAGATTGAGTACCAACCTTGATGAATTTGTACGTGATCGTTATTATCACCGAAGATTTTGTTTGCGTTGACCAAACTGAAATCGAAGTCGCTGACCCATTCAAGTGGTTGCACTGAGCCTCGCCAAGCAACGACGATATCTCTCCGACCAAGAATCGCCGTTCCTTGGTCGTCTGTGACCGCCACGTAACCCATCCAATTCGATTCCTTTGTCCATCCCTCACGTGACATTGGGAACAATAGGAATGACTCAGGCACGTGGATCTGCGATGTCGCGTACAGAAACTTCGTCACTTTGTACTTTGTGTAAGGGTGCGCTTTCTCTAAACCAACCTGAGTTTTCAGAATAAAAACAAAAAAAAAAACAAAGTTTGCTTTAGATTTCTTTTTCTTTTTTGGCTAAAAAGCTCTAGGTTTCTTGCATAAGAAGAAAACGCCTTCTCTCTGTTATTATTATATATGTATTAAATACATATGTCTTGCGTCGATTAGTGACATTTAGGCAAAGTAGGAAAAAAATGAAATAAATAGAACGTATGTACACTATAGCAAATATGTCATATTGTATCATCTAAATCTAATTGTTTTACGTAGTTGTTTGACTGACGTAAAACAGAGTCATGATTTACCAAAGATAAAAGAAATCTATCTTTTTTTAAGGATTTTTAGTTTTTCTTTTTTTAAAAAAAAAAATGTTTAAAAGTAGTTTTATTTTATTTCGATTTTTTTTTTCATTTCATTTCACAACAACAACATCTTCGATTTACCAAACGTAAATTATGAATCCAAAAAAGTCTAAAATTCGTTAAAAACATTGTTCAAAATGGGATATTGAAGGGAATTTTTTTTTTTTTTTTAATGTTTCATGCTTCTAAATATTACCAGCCATAACGTTTATATGTTAATTTTTATTGTACTTCGAAGTTACCTTGGAAAAGAAGTCTTTTCTGGAGTAAATGCTAGCGCCAGCGAATTTAGATTCAGTGTTGATATTGAAAGTATCATAACCAGCCTGAGCCATCTCGCCGTAATGTATGATATATTGCCGGAGATCTTGATCCAACGGGTGTAACATCCCTTTCCAATGGTTTTGACCGCTTAGTTCTCTCCATCTCTTTGCGATTTCTCTAGATACTATCAACTGCTCCTCCTCTTTCTTCTTCTTCTTCTTTGTGATTCTCGTGAAGCTAAAACACCTCGCCACTACTCTCTTGTCTTCTTCCTCCATAATATTTCTGATGTTTAATGATTCTTGTCTAGTTTAGGCTCGGAGAAGCTCTTTGGATCAAAGAAGATAAGTTGTGATGAAAATTTTGGAGATAAAATATGGTTTGGTGAATATAAATATATGTTGGCGTAACTAGGGCGTGTTGCAGAGGAAGTATCATCCTCGAGATTATGAAATATATACATACATCATCTTTGATATGCAAAAAAAAATTTATTTTCTTAATCTATTTAAAAAGGAAGTTCTTTTAACGTTTAAGGAAAGCAATAGCTGACCTGTATCTACATACAAACGATTCTTTTTTTTTCCTTTTGAATGGGACCAACCAAAAAGAAAGAAAATTCCCTTTTTTCTCTAAACTACACGATTTAGACTGTTTAACCAAACCTAAAAATGATGAGTTTAGATTCGTGTAAAAATGAATCACCCAAATTGAAGATATGTTTTATGGAACCTAAACTGAAACTGAAACTGTACCCAACCTTACCAAACTTGATTCATTTTTAACCGTAAAAGAAAAAAAACTAACATAAAGAAGAAGAAAAAACATAAATGTACATCTGGATAATGTTTTCGAATCATATTGCGTGAAAGCATTAGTGTGACATTGGTGTCACTAATTGTCAATTGCTTGTAAACTTGGAGCAAGCTATCTTAGAATATGCTTTGAAAAGGCCGATTTAGTATTATTTTCTGTTGAATAAGATCATATATTCGTTTTGGTAGTAGAAAATTTTCAAAATTATATTTGCAACATATTTCATACAAATAATTTAATCTTATCTCAAACAATAACATAGAGCCATGAATTCTTCCGAATTTGACGGTCATATCATATGTATGTTAAGAACTAAAAATTCACACATATCAATTACGTGACTTCAGATCACGATTCACGAATATGGATTGTTATATTGATACTGTATATTATCTAACTATGGAAAGCTCCATAATACCATGGAGCTCTACTATTTAAATCCGTGCATTAAGTATATCACGTTGTTACTAATTTACTATTACTAAATGTCTAAATCTATAAAACATATCAGAGTTGGCCGGTTTACTTTTCTTGCTCTAGAGTTTGTTACCTAAGAAAAAGAACAAAGGTACAACTAATCCAAAATAAACAAATGCTGTAACTTTTTGTTTAGTTCGGTTACTTTTCCGGTTTAGTTTGTAAATTCCTCTTTACCGAAACATAAACAAATGTTTCATATTTTCTATAACTAATCCAAAAATCACGAATATTAACAAATTTATCTAAAGTTGAACCCAACCCCAATTTAGTACCATTTATTTGGATTAAACACCTACTTCTTTGTGATAGGGGCATGGCAGGAGGTTTCGGGTTGGAACGGATACAAGTGAAGAAAAATGTATACAGAAGAACAACAGACAAAACATCACACGTGAAGATGGAGTTTTAATAGGGCGATTACTAATCTTAAAAACACTATCAAATCCAGCAAATTCAAGAGGACGACTACTAAACTTAAAACTCATTATCACAAAAGCGATAAAGAAAATTAAAGAAATACATCGATTAAAGATCCCATCGTAACACGGAAATCACATAACACACCTATTTTATCATCTAGATGCACTACGTAGTCTTAGTCCGCCTTTTTCAGAAGGAGCCTCCATCATAAGATTTTTGGCATCCAACAGGTTTTTCCATCAACCTTTTATAGTTGAAACCTTTTAGTCCATTTTTTTTTATTGTATAATATTTTGTGCCTAGGCATATGGAAATACTTGATACTAGGGTTGATGGATCCAAAGTAGCCAATAATTTGTCTTTTGTGATATTCTTTTGGAGTTTACACCTACTAAGGTTGATACCTAATTAGATTTTCTTCTTTTCTATAATTTTAACGTATCTATTGTGGTATGTGGATGTTCAGGAAGAACGAACTCCAGATATTAATTATGGAGCCAATCGATCTCGAGTAGGCAGCCGTCAGAGAGAGGAAGGCTTTGAAAATGGGCTTGCAGCGTCCATCTTTTGCCACACAAAGTTAAAATGGTTTTACATGTCATTTTTGACCGTCAGAAATGTATGGTGAAATTTTGATAAAATTATGACATGGTACTGGACCTACTGGTATATATGTAAATACCTTAGTTGCTGAAGCTGATCTAGCAAAGGACGAGCACTTGGATGCTAAGCTGGACCAATGAGAAGGAAGAAGCTAACTAAGAGTTGGCGGTTAGAGATTGGAGAAGCTTGAATAGATGCATTTTACATTTCTTGTAGTTTTATTGAATAGATACTGAGACTGTTAGAGGGATCTATTGTGTATGAGAAACCAGTAAAGTGTTTTCTTATCGATCAATCATCAATGTCATCATACTACTTTGTATATGATAAATATATGATTGTACAGATGCACGAATGCCAAATGTACATCCCGTAATAATTGCAGACTTGCAGTATAATGTTAAAGTATTGAATATTTTGGTGAAAAAAAAAATGGTCCTAGCTCTTAAGTCCATACATGACTTGTAAGGCCCATTTCATTATCTAATGGTCACATATAGAAGAAATGGGATAACCTTGAAAGTTCTAGCTGACCAACAATTTGTTCTGTGTTACGCAACAAACTAACAATCTAAGCTCTCTCAGTTCAAGGCTTCAAGCTAATACTTTGGCACGAGAAATTGCATTAAGTATCATATACAAGGCGGACGATTTCAGTCTTACTTAGCATTGAGAGGTCCGGCTTGGTTCCATTTAAGGATTAGTGAAGAAGCTAGCTATAGAGGTCAATGGATGTTCGTATTACTATTATGACATGTTTCTAATTTTTTTGTTTTTTTTTTTGGGTTTATTTAGGAGAACTTTGTTCTGGTTTTGTATTCTAGACTGATTTATGGCTGTTCGATGGAACTGATGAAAAAACGAACTTTTTTTATAAAAAAATAATATATGAAAAAGTCAACATATGAAAGTCAGCCTGTGTTTTATTTCTATTTTAAAAATAAATTAAAAATGTCGATCTAGCAACAACAAAAGCCACTTCTTTTATAGAAAGACTGAAAGAGTTATTATCATCATTAAAACAAAAAAAAAAGACTGAAAGAGTTAAAACTGTAGTCTAAAACTTCAAAACGTATCAATTACTCCTATAGCTAATTACTGCACCAAATATTTCTTTCATCAACATGATCATTGGTTCCCTACTCTTATATCATAACAAAATATTAGTTGCCATTCCTAAATCTATTAATTGGTAAAGGAGATCATACATATTATTTTGTGCTGTCGAATATCTACTCGCTTCAAAAGTACTTGAATCACTACGATGTATATACATTTTAAATCTAATGCTAACTGAAAAAAAGTTAAAAGATTGGCTATTAGATTGATAGGGTTGGTACATTTATGACTGGTCTAGTAGAGATATGGATACCATTTTTTTGTTTGCTTAGAAGAATAAACAAAAGCATGTGGGAAGAGAAAGCTTCGTTTAACACCTCAAATATGGCTAAGTGTCCCCAACACAAATCTTATTCATAAATTCACACATATAACAAAGTTTCATGACCTAACCAACAATTCAATAGAGCCCACTTTTTGAGAAACAAAGATGCAATACTCAAAATAGGAACAGTTCTCTCAACATGTCTAATTACATTTTTGTGAGTATACAAGTCAGCATCACCAACTTCAAGCAGAATTAACCGTCTTTAATGCGACGAGACAATCCTATTTTTATTTTTTTTTTGTGACCAAGACAATCATATTTTTTAAAAGACTACATTGTAAAATAAAGTTTGAAATTATTCGTCTGTTGTAATCTAAACCCTATTACGATGGAATCAAGTTTACAACACAAAAACATGGCACAAGGGATCATTATCAGAAATTCACAACTTTGTGCATAAGATTTAGTTGGGTATGTGTACACATGGGTGAATGTGTATAAATTTGTGTATGTTACAGCAATGTAGAAAAGACAAGATGTTGATTTGTTTAAAATGGACCACCTTGAAAATATTATTTATTGGGGTTTATTCAATTAAACATATACATATACACACATGACTACATATATGTCACCCCCACAAGTTATGTGACATTCTTTTCAATTCTCTGTTCTTTCCCCTTCTTCGCCGCTGCTCACATTAATTCTCCCTTTCCCTTTCATTGTTAGCTAAAAGTTTTTCTCAATAAACCAACTTAATTAGCCTCTTTAAAAACTAAGCAAATGATTACACGTTCTTTTTGGTCTATCTATATTTGGAGATAAAGTTACTATACTGCTCGCGGTGAATTTCTGTTTGATAGAATATAAAGATTCTCTGAAACGAATTTATATATTTTGAAAAACACACATTGAATTAAAAAAAAAAACTATACAATTTAAACTCTTTACCAATGAAATTGACACAGAATCAATTTCCATTGACAATTCGTATATCGTATCGCAGTTTTTAAGAAGATTAATTTCCTATGGACTAAACTTCATAATCGCAGAAAAAATTCTAATGGATTTTGATTCAACAAATTACGTAAAATGTAATTTTAGATGTGACGAGAAAAAACCAGCTTTGCACTATAGCTCATATTAATCATTGTGAAATAATGTATATAAATCGATCATATATGAAGATGCAAACAAGGTTGGAGCAGCACGTGTAGCAGTCCGACTAGCTCTGGAATTGATACAAGAAGACTTGCAAAGTAATCTACACACGTGGAGGTGAGCTGGAAGCTGAGCTGGAGCTGCAGGACGTGCTGGACACTTCAAGAGACGAAAAGCTGACGTGGATAGGAAGCTTGGAGTATCTTGAAGGATATTTGAAGAAAATATCAAGTTTCTTCTATCTTAGGAGAAAATAAGAAAGGTGAAGATTCTCATGAAGATTTGGAGAAATCACAAGGAGGATCTAGGCGAGGAGTAGCCGCAAGTCCTATTATGTATAAATAGGAGTGTGAAAAACCGTGTAAGGTTTTTAACACAACTGAGAGAATATTTAGCAAAGGGTGAGCGAAAATCTGTGAGAGTTTTTGTGAGCTAGTGTGCTAAAGGATTTGGGTGAGAGGTTCTTGAATCACGTATCGATTCAAGAACAAGTGAGACTAGTGTAGCAAATTAAGGTGTGTCTTGAGATTGCTTTAAATCGGGTTCTGTATACTTGTAAGTTATAAACAGATTTACTAGTAAAATATCTTTAAAGAGAAAATCTCTGTGTTATGTTCTGTGTTAGTTCCCGTATTACTACTCTTACATTTTCAATATAGAATAACAAAATCGTTAATCCCTTATTCCTTTACGATAATCTAGATTCTATATGTATTAATGTGTTTGATCAATATAAGAGTAAGGAGAAAGCAATAAGATTTCTGCTGAGAAAGCAATGCTAGTAAAAGTCAGCATCAAAACAGCTTTTTCTTCACATCGTTCTACCTCCAAGTGAATATGTATATAACAATGTACCGGATTGAATTCGAATAATGACACAACGATACTAACAAAAACTATCACATTTCAAATTTATATATTTATATCACATAGTCTATATTTACCAAACTTTGATCTTAAATGTGCAAGTTTACTATTAGCGTTCTTTCCTTTAATTATTCATATATACAATTGCATTAACACGTTAAATACCCATTGGCGTCAATTATACTCTGTTTCATAATAAGTGGTTGATTAGAATTTTATTCTGTAGAAAAAAAATAATGTTATTTTGTATTATACATGTAGATTTTGAAAATAAATTTCAGCTTATTAATTTGAATAAAATTATGTAGTGTATTAATAAAAAAATATTAGAAATACTTCTATATTTTTTTATAAGTACGGTTTTGTTAAAACGATATTTATATTGACACAGAAAGAGAATTATTGAAATTAAACTTAATGAGAGATTTAAATCAACGTCATTAGCAATAAATTTGCTTAATGCTACTAATGCCACTATTAGTTTATATTCTAATCGTCATTCACTATATCCCCTTTATTTCTTTGGTTTGCCACCTAGATTTTATAATGTAACAAGTATTACCTTCACGAACAAAAATCACGCAAATACTATCACAACTTTTTAAATATAATGTACCTTTTTTGGTGTGAAGAAGTAATGAAACTTTATAATCTGTTTCATCATTTCATCATTCTGACCCTATATACGATTCTACCATTCTCAGTACTGCCGATGAAAACTGAAACTGTAAAAGACAAAGGTAAATAAAGAGAAGAATCGAGGCACCAAACCATAAACTAAAGTGTTCTTCTTACTTCTTTTTAAATTTTGAATCCAAGAGGAACAGAAGAACGTTCCTCGTTATTCGTGTACACTACTACTACTTCAAAAAAAAAAGCACAGTGTTTCAATTTCATATGCTAAAATGTAAATTATTCTTCCAACGGTCGAAAAAGGCAAAGCATTTTAACCAATGATTTAATAACAAGAAAAACATTACAAACCCAAAAAAATCAAAAATCAAAACTTTATTTTATATTCCTCTCATTTCATCTTCTTCTTAATCCAAAGGCCCAAACTTTGAATCATCACTCATCACTATCACTCTCTCTCCTTCTCACTCTATAGAACTGCACGGACAACGACATGCTTTTAATTTCCATGCAAATCCCTCCTTTCTTCTCAAGAAAATTTTGAAAATCACTCTCAAATCAAATCAATCAACGAATTTGAAGCTTCACTCTATTTTCATCATCATCAATGGTGGCTGGTAAGGTCCGTGTGACCATGGGTTTTCACAAATCACCTTCAAGCAAACGAAAAGATATGACCTCTCCTCTTCCTCTTCCTCCTCCGCCTCCTCCTCCGCTTAAACCACCTTCAGTTTCAGCTGGTAAACCGGCCAATCCTAATTCCAATCAGAAACCCGGTTTCACTCGCTCTTTCGGCGTTTACTTCCCACGCGCTTCAGCTCAAGTACACAACGCTTCCTCTCGCTCTTCCGATCAAAACGGCGTCGTCTCTGAGCTCCGTCGTCAAGTCGAGGAGCTTCGCGAGAGAGAAGCTCTGTTGAAGACGGAGGTTCTCGAGCTCAAGCTACTCAGGGAATCAGTCTCCGTTATCCCGTTGCTCGAATCGCAGATCGCGGAGAAGAACGGCGAAATCGAGGATTCGAGGAAAGAGACGGCGAGGTTAGCGGAGGAGAACGAGAGATTACGGCGAGAAATCGAGACGATCGAGGAGCTGAGGAGAGAGAGCGAGAGGAGAGAGAAGGAAATGGAGGCGGAGACGGTGGAGCTCCGGAAACTCGTCTCGTCGTCGCTGAGGGAGAGTGACGACCACGCGCTCTCGGTTTCTCAGAGGTTTCAGGGTTTAATGGATGTGTCGGCGAAATCGAGTCTAATCAGGAGTTTGAAACGGGTCGGGTCGATGAGGAATATACCCGACCCGATTCCGAACCAAGACAGCAACAAAACCGTTTCATCCGGCGACGCCGACGGCGACATTTACAGGAAAGACGAGATCGAGAGTCATTCAATGAGTAACTCGGAGGAACTCACTGAGTCATCATCACTCTCAACCGTCAGATCTAGGGTTCCGAGAGTCCCAAAACCACCGCCTAAACGGTCAATTTCATCCAACGGATTAGTCGATTCAACAGAGAACGGAGCAGATCCGCAACCGCAGAGAACAAATCCACCTCCACCTCCGCCTCCGCCGCCGCCGCCACTTCTTCACCCACCGCCTCCTCCGTCCGTTTCCAAAGCCCCACCACCGCCTCCACCACCGCCGCCGCCGAAGAGTTTAAACATAGCGTCGGCGAAAGTAAGACGAGTGCCGGAAGTGGTGGAGTTTTATCACTCGTTGATGCGAAGAGACTCCACAAACTCGAGAAGAGATTCCACCGGCGGTGGCAACGCCGCCGCAGAGGCGATACTTGCTAGCTCCAATGCCAGAGACATGATCGGAGAAATCGAAAACCGATCGGTTTATCTCCTCGCGGTAAAATTCTCTTTTTATTTCGGTTTAGCCTCTCTTTTAGTTCCTTTTTTTGTCTTGCGTCAGTGAGAATTGACCGGTCGTTCCACTTTTCCCTCGTCCTTTTCCGAGAACCATTTCGCTAAATTTCAAAATTCAAAATCATAAACCGGTTTTTGCTTTAATTTTAAACCGAACATTGCAGATAAAAACCGACGTAGAAACGCAGGGAGATTTCATTAGATTCTTAATCAAAGAAATCGAAAACGCTGCGTTTTCAGACATCGAAGACGTCGTGCCTTTCGTCAAATGGCTTGACGACGAGCTCTCTTACCTGGTATGAAACTTTTAAAATCTCCCGAATTTAGAATCCAATTTCCTTCAAAATTCTTATGGGTTTTTCAAATTTGGTGTTTTTTCCAAGGTTGATGAAAGAGCAGTGTTGAAACACTTCGAATGGCCGGAGCAAAAAGCCGATGCGTTGCGTGAAGCAGCGTTTTGTTATTTCGATCTGAAGAAACTCATATCGGAAGCTTCTCGTTTCCGGGAAGATCCTCGTCAACCTTCAGGCTCTGCTCTCAAGAAAATGCAAGCTCTGTTCGAAAAGTAAACTGAAAAATTCCAAGTCTTCGTTTCGTGTTTTCAAGCCCAAGTCTTTTAAGTAAGATCATTAATCAGATCTCATTTTTGTGGGTTTTAAAGGTTAGAACATGGTGTTTATAGTCTGTCGAGGATGAAGGAATCGGCGGCGACAAAATTCAAGACTTTCCAGATTCCGGTTGATTGGATGCTCGAAACCGGCATTACTAGCCAGGTCAGCAAACATTTTACAAACAAAATTATCTCGAGATTAACGTTAATGATCCTTCCTTCTATGTTTCGTGTTAGATTTATTAAATTAAAAAAACAAAAAACAAATCTTGGTTGTGCTTGGTGGTCTGATTACAAATTGATATAATGTATAGTGGTGATTTCTCTCTAGTGATTTAGTTACTAATGGACCATTAGTTACTTCCCGTATTTAGCTATTTATTGCACTTTGATTGGAGTTAAGTGGTGAGGAAGATAATAATATAGAAACAACAAGAACAACAACAATTCTCATGGTCCCCATTTTCTGATAAAGTCAATTGTTTCTGGCACTGGCAGGACAATGTCAAATTGGTTTGATACTGTCTTGTGTGTGTCTTCACTCTATTATTGTTTTGCTTGTTTACATGGTAAAACTATTATGTACTACATGACAAATAAACGTATATACAAATAAATATTGAACAAAGTAAACTTGAATACTGTGTTACTTTAATGTATTTGGGGTTTTCCTATGTGCACGCCTGTGAATTTCAAGATTTTCTCCACTGTATCTTCTTGTCTTCTTCCTTTGTTTTTGCTTTGGGATTCATGAGTTTTATTATACAATTGCATACAAGGATCGAAATGCATATCATTTTGTAATAGATAGACAAATCAAGTATAGAATCAGATTCTCTAAAAGACGTCCTACATTAAGTGTAGTGTGTATCTGCAACTTGAGAAATGAGATTAAAGAAACGCTTAATAAGTCTTGATGTGAAGTTCTGTATTAAGTGTGTAGAGTTATGAATGTGATTTCAGATTAAGTTGGCATCTGTGAAACTAGCGATGAAGTATATGAAGAGAGTATCAGCAGAGCTCGAAGCCATTGGAGGCGGTGGCCCTGAAGAGGAAGAGCTTATTGTTCAAGGCGTTCGATTCGCATTCCGTGTTCATCAGGTAAACTACCTTGGTCATCTTCTGTTTAGGTTTGGCTCTCTTACAACATCTGTTTGTCCCCAACTCTTAAAAAAACCTGTTTTTTTGTTCAGTTCGCTGGAGGATTTGATGCAGAGACAATGAGGGCATTTCAAGAGCTACGAGATAAAGCGAGATCATGCCATGTTCAGTGTCAAAGCCAAACACATCAACATAAGCTTGTTTTTCGATCTACCCCTTGTTGAAGCAATCTCAGCTTCATATCCACACCTCTTTGGTATTTGTTGTCATTTTCTCTATTAAATTTGTTTTTTTAAGACAGATAAATCATGTGAATATACGAAACTCTTCTTGCTGAGAAAAAAAAAAGATCATACTAAATCGAAAACATGGTTATCATATGTACTGATAAAAGCTTCACAAAGAATGCGGCGGCCTAGAAACTAAGAGACATAATTAAACTAGTCCATTATTGTTCTAAAACCCCAAACATAAGCCTGCAATTTTGAAGGCAAGCTCCTAATTACACAACCACCCAATCATCACTGTTGGATCCTTCGTCTCCGGATTCAGACTCATCAACTGTATCTTTTGAGAGTTCCATCTGAAAAGAAAAAATGACGATTTTGGTTTTGTTAGAAGAAAATATATAAGTAAAGACATGGCAAAAGTTATGAGAAACTAGAATGCACACCATTTGAATTGCTCCTGCTCTCTCTGTTTTAGTTTGAGGCATAGCTTCAACATGTTCCACAACCACATACTCTTCATCCGACAAATGACCTGATGCTGCTACACCTGTCAGAAATTTACAAAGACATTACAGATCCATAAACTTAACGGACAGAGAATGAGACAAAGAACGAATTAGTTACCAATTTCAGATAAGCTTGCATTGTTCTCGTTCTCGTTCTCCAAAGAGGAGGTTTCAACAGCCTTCAATGGTGAGTCACCGTCATCACTCTCAGAATCTAATCCATCTATAAGAAAGTTATGAAGATATGTTACTATAATATAAGAGCTCATGGAACATGTTTTAAGGTTAATCATAAGAGTGAGTTACTGGTAGTACCGTCGACAGATGAATATTCAAGGTATTCATTGTAGAAGGTTAAGCCGTCGTAAACGGGAAGTTTCTTACGAGGTCGGATCAAATATGGTAAAGGAACTCCTGCATAATCAATCACGACACACAAAATTTACAAATCACACAAAACTCAGAACTTAAAACAGGAAGAACCAAATGAATAGTGGAAAGAAACCAAACCGCGACAAGTGAGCTCATTATTGCTTTTCCTCTTCCGAGATTCCATTGAGTTAGCAGAAGCAGCATAAACTGGTTCGAACAGCGACATGTCCTGAGCAGGAATCACGATGCCTTGATTCAGAAAACGGTATACGTTAGATTCAATATCATTCAAAAACTTTTATAAGAGAGATATGGCCTATTGGCTATTGGCACCTTAGAACCAGAGAAATCAGCCTACATCTAAGAAAAAGTTTCAAACTTTACGCTAATCGGACTAGCAAAAGATGTGGAAGAACCCTAAGTGATCATCAAATTTTCAGACGAAAAGTTTTAATCTTTGCATACCCAATCGCCGAAAACCTTCGTAAAACAAGAAACTTCAGCTCGTACGAAACAGAAATTTACAGGAAATTTTCTCCACAAGCAAATAATGTAAACCCTAATTTCCCTGATTGTAACTCGAAAGAAGCAAATAACCAGTCTCCAGAAGAAGAAAAAAAATCAGAGAAAATAGCAACGAAAGTGTAAATTATTACTGAGCAGATCAATCCCCAAATAACCATATGATTACCTTCAAAGATTAAGAGAGAATTGTCAATCAGATCTCGAGAAATTGGATCTTCGACGAGATTTTGAAACACAGTCAGGGAAGAATAAGAGAGATTAGCGCGGACGAAAATTACGGATTAGCGATGATGGAAAATCTTTATAGCAATATATAGGATTTTTTTTTTACATTATATTTCCATAAAATAGGGTTAATGACGTATCCTATTTCCTTTTTCACTTAATTACGTATTGTTGTTACTGACGTGTCACTGTTTTCACTCGATACCCAACGGTTTAGCTTACCCGCGAATAGACAACCGAACCCGAAAACCGGTTCGAGCAACTAATCCTTCATTATCTCTAGGCCGCGTGGGAAACTAAAAACTCCTTCGTCTTCTCATTCGTAAATCCAGAAATTAGGGTTTTCTTCCCGCCACCGCGTCCCTTGCCGGAAATTGTCTCCCGTTTCATCTTCCGGGTACTGTTAAATCACAAGGCTTTAGTAATTTCTTCTTATTGGGTTCTCTGATATCTAGTGTAATCTGTTTTTTCGTCTTATTTCAATCATTTTCCTCCTTAGGTCGAAATCTGTAGGCTTGATTCGTTTGCTAGATTTATGAAGCTTTTAGTAATCTAGCTATGAGGATTTGGTTCGATTTGGGTATCGACCACTTACCAAGTTGATAACTTTGATTGGTGACTAGAGAATATGAAATTCCTCAATTTGAAAGATTACTCTAGGCTTTTCAATCTGAGATTCAATGAGAAATGCTTTTGGTTTATAGGTATGGATACTTCAAGTCCTGCTGCTTTTGTCAATGGAGCTTTGTTGAGGCGGTACATTGGTCAGAAAGTGAGAGCAGTGGTTCAAGTTATCCGGTCAGATATTGGATCCGTGACTGGAAAATCGAGTGATGATCAGCAGATTGTCGTCAAGGGTTCTCCTCCTCCTTCTCTAACTACTTACCTCGAGGTAATCGGAATCGCCGAGAGTGAAAACACCATCCGAGCTGAAGTTTGGACCAACTTTGGGGATAATTTCGGTATGCCTCTAGATTTTAAAAATCCTTCCTTTAACCTCTTATTCGAGTATTGGTTTCCTATATAATTAGCAAATCAGTCGTTTGAGTTCTTGTTGTGTCTTGATCTGGATCTTGCTTGTTTGCAGATGCACAAAACTACAATGAGCTATGTAAGCTCGCGAATGGTGAGTTTAGACACATGTTTATCTGAATTACAGAGTACTGGCGATGAATGTCGTAGCTATTTCGTAGCTTTTTTTTGTGTTTCTTGTAGACATATCTCGCATTTGTTTTTTTTAGAGTCAAAGCTCTTCTTTTTTTACATGTTAGTTTCAAGATTGGGCTATTGATCTTGAGGTCTTCGATTTCCGTATCGAAAATCTTCTGTTACGTTTTATGGTAATCTATGTTAGTTTATCTCTGATTGTGGATCGTATGTTTCTTTTTCAGTGTTTTGGTTTATCTTTGGTTTTTCTATTGATGCCATCACATGTGGGCCTTAGATTCTAACATAATCATCCAATGCTTTCATAAATATTCTGTAGTCAATGGTCTTAGACCTACATATATACAGTATCTACATTTAAACTTTCCAAAAAGAAACTATATCTTATATATAAAACTTGCTTAACTCTCTCAACTCTCTCCAACTCTCTTCAGCTGAGTGACACATCAGCATTGGAGAGAATGATACCTGTACATTAACAATATTAATAATAAAAAAACTAACTAAATTTCAAGCAAATACATTAAAGAACAAAAATAAATATTTATATGTATTTATATTAGAATGATATTTAAATTTAATTTAAATATATTAAAATTTATATAAATATTATATAATACAAAACTTTTTAAATGCATTCTATCTTTTTTTTTCAAGTGTTTTAAATTTTAATTTCAAACTAAAAATATAATTAAATTTTATTGTAAGTGAAAACAAATTATGAAACAGAATAAGTTAAAAAGTTTCAAATAGTTTTATATAAAACTCCAAATAATAAAATGATAAAACACAAAGAATATTTAATAAACAATTAAAAAGATAAAAATTATTAAAAAAATAATAATAAAAAGGTGTCCACATGAAAATGTCATACAGTTTTTTAAAAATAAAAAAAGATTGAATCAATAAAATATATATAACCAAAAAAATTCAAAATGGTAAATTAAGAAAGTTAATAAGTATTATATTAGTAAGATTTACAAGAATAATAAGAATATGAAGATCGAAGAAAAATTAAATATTTTTTTCTGATATTCAACGTATATTTTTAAGTGAACTATTACGTTTTCATGCAAAAATTAAAAAAACTAGATTTTTAGTCTCTTATTATTTTGAGAGAAAAATTAGACTATTTGACATAAGTGGTGTAGAAGAGGTTACCAATAATATATCATCAAGAAAAAATCGAAGAAAATATAAATATTTTAAATGCAAAAACATTGATAGTAAACATAAAATTCAATATAAATTATAAAAATATATTATTTAAAATATAAATATGTCCTAGTATATAAAAATATATTATTCTAAAAATAAATTATTTAAATATATTATTGTATTCTAAAAATTCAATACGAAGTATGCGCGAGATCTGTCCTAGTATATATAAATAAAGGGTTTCACTCTTTTCCTATTGGGTCATTCGGCACTCTCTTCAACAATTTTTTTTTTAAATTTTTTTATTTAAATTACTCAACTAAATTACATTAAATTCATTCAACTCATGCAAACAACAGTAAGATATATAGCATATATGACATCTTTATTAGAAAAAACCAAATATGACATCTTAATATATATATATATATATATATAGTGTATATGAATATTTGTTTCTACACAAAATTTTAAAAGTATATTTCAAAAAGTATATTTCCATCAATATGATTTACTATAGTTACTAAATTTAGTGGAACCAATAAAGCATCCTATCAATATAACCATGGTTACATAATTTATAAGTCAAATTTATTTTGGGTCCGATTGGTGATTCCGTTTAAACAAGACGGTTAAAGAATTTTGAGTCGTTGACAGAAAGTGGTTGAAAATTAAGTTTGATTGGTAGCATTACAGCGGTTGAATAACAGTTGAATAGTGTAAGTGTATAACATTATTAGTACAATGTTTTTTAGATAATTATTTATAAAATGATATAATAACACATAATTAAAATTTTATTATGACAAAGTTTTTGATAAATTTAAAATGCACAACCGGTTTTTTGTTTGTCGATGGACATGAATGCATGCACAACTCTTTTTTAAAGAAGTTATATTTAGGTTTTTTTTTAAATATCAGTGATGATAATTGCTTTTAATAACTTTAAAATGCACCTATTGTTTTATAATAAAAAAAATTTTGTCGAGTGAATTGAATGAAATAACAAAAAAAAAACTAACACACACATATACATACAAAAAAAAAGCAAATAATTTTACTAGTTTCTTATTAAAAATCAATATCAAACCACAAATTTTATTATTACAACAAAAACTCTGGCTACAACCACTCATTTGCTCTAAACGCCCATTTTTTTACTGTTTGTAACCGCCCGAAAATTAATCTCCAATTGCCCGAATCTTCTTTCAACCGTCCGTTTCAAACACTGATTACAATCATGGTTTTCAACGTTTTCTCCAACCGACATTGCTGATTGTTAACATTTTTTCACCTGTCTTTGCCAATCGTTCCTTAAATGCTACCAGTCAGACCTTTTAAGAAAACAAAAAATGTAAGGTTATGTTGTACAGAAAAAAAACAGTAAACAAATGTAAATGTAACGTTAATTTGTAATTTAATTCACTAAACTTTCAACCGTGAGTTAATGACATCTCAATTATGAAAAAAATATATCATTATTCAATCTACTACACAAATTAAAGACCAAATTTATGTCTTCACAGTAATTATAAATTGACTGAAAAAAACAGTCCAGTAAAGCACAATTTTTCTAACGTATGGATCATAATGAGGGGAAGAAAATTGGGATTAAACTTCCCATTATGTGATTGATTGAAATCTAAAAGGGAGACAATTTAATACCATAACGTATATGAGTTAAAAACAAATCAATATCTTGAAGAAACAATATCAATATTAAATCAATATCAATATTCGTTTAACCTTTTAGCAACCTTTCATTCACTATAAATAGCTCACAATATAATCTTAAAAAAATATATCACTTGCTGTCAAAACACAAAACAATTCACATTACATACGCACTTATCGAATGTCACAAACAGGTTAGTTGAATGCCAATTAGAAAACCATTTTATATGGGTTTGCAGAATTTAAAGGTTTGCTTGGATTCATGTAGGGTATTTTCAATTTATGTTTTTCCCCAAATTTTTACATCTTCAAAATTTTAACATGATTTTTTGTGTGTTTTTGTATATGAATATTTGTTTCTACACAAAATTTTAAAAAGTATATTTCAAAAAGTATATATTCATATCTAAATTAAAGCAGACATAGAAGTACAGAACGTTGAAGAAAATACTTGAATCTCTCTAAAGCCCACGGCCCAGACAATGTTTTTAACGATAACGATTAAGAACTGGTCCGGTTTGGCTAAACCGGGCTATTGAGAGAGGAAGCCGTCATGGAATAATCATTTAGGACATAACCTAAACCTAAACTGAACAGATTTGTGACGAAGAAGAAATCTGTGTAGCTAGCTCTCCAGCCTTGGCAAAAGGTGATTCCTTTTTGTTTTTTGCTCTGGTTTCTAAAACATTAGTTTGAGGTTTTGAAGTTTGCTTGGTATCTTGTTTTCTTGTGGAGGTTTATAGATTTCTGGTGTAGGGTTTTGTTGTGTGGTTTGAGCTGTTGTTGGTACTGTTCTTCACCGCCGCTGATTCTGATCTTCTTTCTTTTTTTCACGTAAATCGTTACTCTTGCAATTGAATTCCGTGTGAGCTGTTTCCCGGCTGCAATCAAAATCAGTGTTTAGTGACTCATGTATTATAGGAAATCAATAGTTGTTGCAAAGCTGACAACTTTATTAGGGATTTTGAGAATTCTGAATTAAGATCGTCTCGTTTGTTGATTATTACTCTTTAATTATGCAATTTTGGACCCGTGGCCCGTGGGTGGCTTCAAAATCAAAACTTGAGTCTTTGAGTATTGGTTTCCTATATGATTAGCAAATCCCTCCTTTAAGCTCTGATTGAGTCTTTGAGTATTGGTTTCCTATATGATTAGCAAATCAGTTGTTTGAGTTCTTGTTGTGTCTTGATCTGGATCTTGCTTGTTTGCAGATGCAGAGAACTACAATGAACTATGTAAGCTCGCGAATGGTGAGTTTAGACACATGTTCATCTAAATTACAGAGTACTGGCGATGAATGTCGTAGCTATTTCGTAGCCTTTTTTTTGTGTTTCTTGTAGACGTATCTCGCATTTGTATTTTCTAGAGTCGAAGCTCTTCTTTGTTTCATGTTAGTTTCACGATTGAGCTATTGATCTTGGGGTCTTCGATTTCCGTATCGAAAATCTTACTGTTACATTTTACGGTAATCTATGTTAGTTAATCTGATTATGGATCGTATGTTTCTTATTTAGTGTTGGTTTTTCTATTGATTCCATCACATTTGGGCCCTAGAATGTAACATAATAATCCAATGTTTTCATAAACTTTCTGTAGTCAATGGTCTTAGACCTATATCTGTACAGTATCTACATTTAACCTTTAAAATCTTACAAATGAGTTCCAAAGGTGCATGAATCTCTTTTGCACTTTAGTCACATCCACAAAATTATCCAGCATCTGCAGATGCTTGATGATTTTGTGGACGTGACTAAATTGGATAAGAAATTCATGCACTTTGGAACTCATTTACTATGGATTTTGAGAATTCTGAATTAAGATCGTCTTGTTTGTTGATTATTGCTCTTTAACTATGCAATTTTGGACCTGTGGGTGGCTTCAAAATCAAAACTTATACTCGATTCAACAGCAAAGTGAAGAGTTTTAGTCTCGTTTATATACCGAAAACATCCAATGTGCATAGAAACTGAGATTTCTCTGTCGACCTTTTATCTTGATCCTAGACTATTTTGATATAATGAGATTGAAACTTCTTTTCTGAAGGTATCTCTTTTTGTTAACATAGATAGAACAGAAGCTATGACTGAGTTGCAAATGGAGGTGGAGACAAATTCTTCTTCGCAGGAGCCTATTCCCAAGCCTCAAGTCATGTACCGATGTAAGAAATGCAGAAGAATAGTTGCTATCGAGGAAAACATAGTCCCGCATGAACGAGGGAAAGGTGAAGAATGCTTTGCTTGGAAAAAGAGAAGCGGAAACTCTGAACAAGTGCAATGCTCTTCCATATTTGTCGAGCCTATGAAATGGATGCAAACAAGTGAGAATTCTTCTATATAGATATATATCAACTCTGTATCTCAACAAGAATCTTTTGAAGTTGTTTCTTACCACGGTGTTGATTTCTTTGCAGTTCACGATGGATGTGTTGAAGAGAAGCTTCTTTGTTTGGGATGTAACGCCCGGTTAGGTTATTTCAACTGGGCTGGGATGCAATGTAGCTGTGGGGCTTGGGTTAATCCGGCTTTCCAGCTTCATAAAAGCCGATTAGATGAGTGTAAGACCGAGCCAAACCCGAGTCTGGAAACTGTATGAATGGATACTAATGATTATATTAAGCCTTATTATGTGTTGAACATCCTAATGTGTTTGTTTAGTTATAAATCCAACAAAAGTGCATTAGCTTAATGTTTAAGTATATTAAATTCAAACATAGAGAACCTATATGTGTTTTATCTGTTTCTTTCTAATTTTAGGGGAAGAACCAAAGACAGGAAAAACAGGGAGTCAAAAGAAGACACATTTGGAAACCAAAGGCTACAATTAAAAGAAATAACAAACCCATCATTGGTTTTTTTCAAGAAACTAATTACTTGTTAACTAATAAACGGTTTTTTTCAGAATTAACTAAAAATAAGAAATGGTTTTTTCTTGTATAAAACCGAACTTTGTGGTTCTTGTCAATTAGTTGTCCTCTTCTCTAAACATATATCTCAACAAAGAACACGATTATAAAAGAGAAGAGGTATCAAAAAAGACAAGAATCTTTAAATCATTTTTCAAACAAATGGCGAACAAAGCCATCTTCTTCTTCTTTGTCTCCGCCGTGTGCCTGTCGTCTCTCGCCGGCAAGGCCCTCGCTGACGCCGATGACTTTGACCGTTTCCAAATTCAGGGATCGGTTTACTGTGACACATGCCGTGTCCAATTCGTTACCCGTCTCAGCAAATTCCTTGAAGGTATATAATATACAACCCAAATAAATCACACATGCTTAATTGCTTATATTATCAGTCGAATATCCAAAAAAAAAAAAGAACATATTAGTAAAATAACATATGGACGATGAATGATATACATTTTTTCACGTTTTTACGTTTAAAAACGTGATTCCACTATATTTTATCATTCACTAAGTTTTCACGCTTATAAAAATAATTCAACAACATATTTTGTAAGTGTTAAAATATAAATACAAGACAAAAACATCACTAATCTACTGAAACCAAATTTTAATGTTTTGTGATTATTATGTGAAAACTATATTCAACTCAAGTATTTCTGTTGTTGGATTGTTCGACTATTCCAAAGCATACTGGTCATTTGGTTTATTCTATTTTGCTCTTTTATGTTAAATGGTTATTCTAATTTTTGCAGGCGCGAAAGTGAAGCTAGAGTGCAGGAGCAGAGCAAACGGAACCGTAACGTTGACGAAAGAAGCCGTAACGGACAAATCAGGGAGCTACAGAATGGAAGTGACTGGTGACCACGAGGAGGAGGTCTGCGAGCTCGTGCTCGTCCAGTCACCAGACAGTGGCTGCAGTGACGTCAGCAAAGAGGCTTACCTACGTAACGCCGCTAAGATCAGCCTGACGGCGAATGACGGAATCGTCTCTCACGAGACACGTATCGTTAACCCTCTCGGTTTCATGGTTAAGACGCCGTTAGCTGACTGTGCCGCCGCTTTTAAGGAGCTTGGGATCGTTCCTGACGTCACCTTCTAATTATGATGACCACTTTTACCTCCAAAGATCGTTATTTAACTGTCATCTCTATTGTATGTTTTTTTATATACCAAAAAAAAAATTGTAATTTGATAAAATACAAAAAAATGCGGTAATGAAAATAATTTATCATCTTTTCGAGCATCAAATTAATTTATGATATATATTAGTAAATAATGTTTGTATTATTACATTAAATATGAAATTACAGAGAGGAATGTACAAGTAATCAATCAGATTCCTTTTCTTTTATCTTTCACCGTCGTCATCTGTCGCTACAGCCTAATTAACAACGAACGATTTGTTTTGTTAGTCTCATGATGCTAATGATCTGCGACCAATGCAAATGATAAATGAAGAAAGGGGAGAGTTTTGCTATGAGTACCCGACGGATTGGTTCTGCGTTTTCTTCAGAACAGCGTTTGCGTTTGCTTCATTACTGGGACTGTCTTTTGGTTGGTTTGGTGGCCAATCACGGATGATCTCTGAAACAGATGGTTTATATTGTAGATCTTGATCTTGCTCCTGCTCTAGTCTTGGCGATGTGGATTGATGTTCTACAGAGTCGAAACATGGAAGATCAAGAAACGAACCAGAAAAGGAACCCATATCGCCATGTGTACTTCTCTCTCCAGCTTCTTTCAAGCTTGATGCAGATCCTCTAGGGCTTTCATCAGATTCCCACAGCTCAGAATCCGACAAGCAATTGTCTGAAACACAAGGAGATGACTGACAAAAGATATCGCTGTTGTCTTCATCATCAGAGTTGCTAGCCTCTGGAACCAACTGAAATGAAGGGAACATATCAGCATTTCCACCATTGCACTGAGGTTGGCAAGGGATTCTCAGTTTCAATTTGGAATCTGGAGAGGGATTAATTGGGTTGAACGATATTTTCATATGCTGAACCGGTGGTGATGAAGTAGGGGAGCCAAATAGATATGAATCATAATCCAGTTGCTCCTCAAAGCTTGAGCCACGGAGAGTTTGTTGAGTCTTGTCTGCGATAGCTGCTACTTTGGTATCATAGCTAGTAGTAGGTATGGAGTCAAATTTGCAAGTTGAAGAAGAGTTTCCACGAAAGCCAGCCATGAGTAATCTATGACTTAAGCCAAAGACTTTGAATGATGTTGCAGTGCTTTGCAGGTGAGAGTGAGATCCATTAGAATGAGTCAACATGTTGCTTTGTTGTTGAGAGGTGGGATCTGAAACAACTAATGAAAGCGAGCTCTTCTCAGTAGCTTCAACTGATCTGCTCGATGATTCCTGCTTCCTTGCAGCAGGAACACTAGCTTCGTTGATCTCGTTCTGTATATGTTCGCTGACAGAATTAGGCTCAGAAAAGACTGGAGGTTTCGATGGCGCAAGTCCAAGGAGTCCCCCATTGCTCCATATACTTACTGATTCAACAATCGTATCATTTGACAGAGATTCCTGAGTATCTGGAGAATTCGTGACATTGCCACCACTCAATATAACTGTTCTATCAGCAGATTCTGGTTCCAAGAAACCACTCTTCTGATTCACAGAAACATCAGATGCAGTAGAGGGTTCATCATATGCTTCAGCTTCTTTGACCAAAATTTTTTTAGCAGGAAGATCTGTTACCAAAGGTGGTTGGGCAATAGGCATTTCTCGTTCTGTGAAAGAAGGATACGTGGAATCTGGAACTTCCGGTGAGAACTTTTGATCGAAAATAGCTTCGGCAAAAGATAAAAATGCGGCATCGTCCAAAAATACTTTTTGGTCGGGAATACCTTCTGCCAAATCCAGATATGCAGCAGCAGGTTCTTTTGGCCGAATATTTTCTTCGGGAACAGGTTCAGACAAGGGCAGATACGTGGCAACAGGTTCTTCAGGAAAGGTTTTGTTGTGTGGACCAGTTTCTGTAGTGGAACCAGGATCTTCTAACCTGGGGATCTTTTCATCAAAAATAGCTTCGTTCAATGACAGATACGTGGCAACAGGTTCTTCAGGGAAGGTTTTGTTGTGTGGAGCAGCTTCTGTTGTGTAACCAGGAGCTTCTGAGCCTGAAATATTTTCATTCATAACAGCTTCTGGAGAAGGTCGACATGTGGCATCAGGTTCTTCTAGAGAGATCTTTTCATCAGGTAAAGCTTCTGCCAAAGACATATATGAGGTTTTTTCATGTGGAACAGATTCTTCCAAAGATGGATATGTGGAACCAGGACCTGCCAGTGGAGAGATCTTTTCATCACCAACAGCTTCAGATATATATGGATTCGTCGCATCATTAGGTTCTTCTTCTTCTGAGATCTTTTCTTCTGGTAATTCTTCCAAAGAATGATACACTTTCAAAGGTTCACCTGGCAAGATTTCTTCGATGGGCGCGGCTTTTGTCAAAGACAGACATGTGGTGACAGCTTCTTCTGGCAAAACCCTTTTATATGGAGCAGCTTCTGCCAAACACGGATCTATGCCAACAAATTCTTCAAGAGCGATTTGCTCTTGTGGGATAGCTTCTGCCACAGATAAATTTTTGGGATCAAGAACTTTTGGTGAGACATTTTCATCACTTTCAGCTTTGGCACAAGATGGATGTGTGGCATCATCAGATTTTTCTTGTGAGATCTTGTTATTAGGCGATTCTTCCAAAGAAGCATACGCTTCCAAAGGTTCTTCTGGCGGCAAGACTTCTTCCATAGCCACTCCTTTTGCTAAAGATATACATGTGGTGACAGGTTCTTTTGGCAAAATCCTCTCATCAGGAAGAGCTTCTGCCAAACACGGATCTATACCAACAAATTCTTCAAGTGCGATTTGCTCTTGTGGGATAGCTTCTGCCTCAAGCGAATTTGTGGACTCCAGAACTTCTGATGAGAATTGTTCATAACTTACAGCTTCAGAAAGAGATGGATGTGTGGCATCATCAGATTTTTCTAGTGAGATCGTGTTGTTAGGCAATTTTTCCAAAGAAGCATACGCTTCCATTGGTTCTTCTGGTGGCAAGACTTCTTCGATAGCCACTGCTTTACATGTAGTGACAGGTTCTTCTGGCAAAATCCTCTCATCAGGAACAGCTTCTGTCAAACACGGATCTAGACCAACAAATTCTTCAAGGCCGATTTGCTCTTGTGGGATAGCTTCTGCCTCAAGCAAATTTGTGGAATCAAGAACTTCTGATGAGATTTGTTCATAACTAACAGCTTCAGAAAGAGATGGATGTGTGGCATCATCAGCTTCTTCATGCAAAATCTTCTCTTCAGGCAATTCGCCGAAAGAAGGATACGTTTCCAAAGATTTTTCTGGCAAGAGTCCTTCAATTGTCGCAGCTTTTGTCAAAGAGATACATCTGGTGATAGGTTCTTCTGACAAGAGCCTTTCATGTTCAGGCTCTTCTAGCAAGAACCTTTCATCAGGAACAGCTTCTGCCAAACACGGATTTATGCCAACACATTCTTCTAGTGAGATTTGCTCTTGTGGAAGAGCATCTTCCTGAGACAAATCTGTGTAACCAAAAACTTCTGGTGAGATTTTTACATCACTAACTTCAGATAAATTTGTGGCATCATCCGTTTCTTCAAGCGAAATCTTTTCGTCAGGCAACTCAGTCAGAGAAGGATATATTTCCAAAAACTCTTCTGGCAAGGCCTCTTCAGTGGCCACGGCTTTTGTCAAAGACAGGCATGTGGTGACAGGCTCTCCTGACAAAACACTTTCATCAGGAACAGCTTCTGTTAAACACGGATCTATGCCCACAAATTCTTCAAGTCTCGTTTTCTCTCGTGAAACAGCTTCTGCCACAGACAAATTTGTGGAATCAAGAACTTCTGATGATAAGTTTTCTTCTGGAGCAGCTTTGGCATTAGTCGAATGTGTAGAACCATCATATTTTTCTTGCAGGATACTGTCTTTATGCGATTCTGCCAAACAATAATTCACTTCCAAAGGTTTTTCTGGCAGTAATTTTTCGACAGGCATGGCTTCTGTCAAAGGCAAACATGTGGTAACAGGTTCTTCTGTCAAGAACCTTTCATCAGCAGCAGCTTCTGCCAAACATGGATATGTGTCAAGTGAGATTTGCTCTGGTGAAACAGCTTCTGGCACAGCCAAAATCTTCGAATCAGGAACTTCTGGTGAAATTGTCTTTTCTTGATCAGCTTTGGGAAAAGATGGATGAGTAGCATCTGCCGGGGTCATATTGTCAGGAAAAACTTTTCCCGCAGAGTGAATTTTGGGAAGAGAGATTTCCGGCAAGATCTTTTCGTGAGGGAAAATTTCTGCAAAAGACGGATAATTGGCAACAGACTCTCCTGGCAAGATCTTTTCATGGGGAACAGCTTCCGCTAGAGATGGACAGCAGGCCACATGTTTTTCTGGCGAGATCTTTTCAGAAGGAATAGCTTCTTTCAGAGACGGGTCTGATGAGATCTTTTCGTTAGCACAGTTCCCTTCCGTCAAGGTATTTGTGGCAACAGGTTCTTCTCGCATAAGTGCTACATCCGGAAAGGCTTTTTCAGCCAATAACGAAGGGCACATGGAAAAAAATTTCCTTGGCTTTTGAAAAGTCTCATCAGGAGACATAGTTTTGCCACACACTGGATCTGACAGGTAACAGGAAACATCTGCATCTTCAGGAAGGTAGGATCCTGAGCAAGATTCATCTTCAAGATCCTCCGCCGTTTGTTCATATGGTGTATCTTCTGATCCATCATTGCTGTCACTGTTAGCATCTTCTGAACAATAAGTGCTAATATCCCCAAAATAATGCTCCAGTTTCGGTTTTGGTACGCCATCAAGCTCACTCTCTGATTCAGATTCAATTGTATTACGTGCATCCACAAACTCATCTGCTTCACTCCCTTGTTCGCTCTTAATTTCTCCTTCGTTCTCAATTCCTGATTTTCCATCAATACTGTTAGCCTGGCTCTTACTTTGTTTTTCTCCCACAATATCTACCTCATCGAAGAAAATATACGTCCTATCAAAGTCTCTTTGATTTTGCCTCATCCTGTCTGGTGTTCCTGGACCAAACTTTGACTCATGTATCTCTGACGCTTCTTCATCTTTGTTACTTTTCTCAACCCTCGATTCAAGTGTTTCTTTCTTCTCATCACAAACAATAGTAGCACATGGCACAGGTATGTCTTCTGAGGGGCTATATAGAATATTATCATCTACAACTTCAACGCAGCCTTTGGGATCAGGTGAACTTATTCTATCAGCAGTTTGTAAGGATGACAGAAATCCCTCGATTAGCTTCACATCAGGCTTATTTACAGGGCTTTGATTGATGACATACTCGATATAACCTGAACCAGTTATAGAATCACGAGGCTTTGATGACTCTTGGAAATCTGATTGTACTTGTGCTTCACTTTTTTCTTGCGAATCTGACTGCCCTTGCAGATGAGATTGGTCGATAATATCAGATAAATCCTGCATATTAGAGCTACGTGGCATGTCAACTGTGGATGTACTCTGGGAAGTTGTTTGTCTGTCATCAGTTAGAGAACTGAGACGAGCCCTGCACAAACATTCAGGTTAGCAAATGAAATTGTCAAGATCAACTTTACTGCAAATTTAGAACATGAATGGACGAGAACTACTACGTCTAAATTTTAAAAGCACCCACCCGTTAGTTTCATCGGATGTAGACACTGCACGTGATCTGCAAATGTTTCTTTGTGGTAACTTCTTTTTCTGTAATTTCAGCAAAGCACAAATCAGATACAAGTACCGCAGAAGACAGGTAAAAAGCGAAAGAATAAAAACCATAGTATTTGAGATGTTTAACGAATCATATTTTCTTGAAGTCACAAGGTTCTTTACAAGTCAATTATGGTGTGAGGTACACTTGTAAGAAGTCGAAACCAGTTCATCAGCAGAAAAGAAACTCCAATAAACTAAACCAATAAGATATTACTAACAAACCTTTCTTTTGCGGTGAGCTTGATCTCTCTGGACCTTGACATCATCTGCTTTACTACTGTTGCTTAATTCCTTTCTAAAGAATGTTGGGTCTGAGTATTTTCTCAGACATGATCCAGGACCACCTACATCAAATCTGCAAGGTGGGAAAAAAATCAGCCACTTCAGAATAAAGATCCAATGCATTAATTTCAATATATATGAGGACGAAACTAAAAGCTTGTCCCTTACCTGTCAAGCAGATGTAAAGGAGGGGGATCTCTGCACTGTTCATATGTTTCCATAACACACAGTGGCAAATCACTCTGAACAAAATGTCTTTGTCCATTCCTTATACGAGGATGCCACTCACAGCCTACAACAGAGAAAAAAACGAAAGACTAAGAATTTATCTGTACAAAATATCACAACTATATATCACAAGGATGTGTGTTCATATAAGCTTTCATCCCTCTTACACAAGTGAGGTGCAAGATAACGGCAAGAGTGTTACATGACATCAAAATTAAGATCAGGAGACTATAGATGAAAGTAAAGCCATACCTGCTGTGTATGCAAAATGTATGTGGCTTGTCTGTGACAGCACAGCCTTTTCAAGAGGTGTCAGCGCTGACTCTATCCGTTTAACACGGCTTGTCAGTTTCTGACACCTGGATGCAGTAACAGTGACTTCTTCTTGTATGCCATTAAATACTTCTGCGGAAAATCTACATGTAAGAAATGCCACCTGGTTAAAGAACTCTCTATCAGTTTACATTCGCTTCGACCAAATTTATGTTCCGTTCCATGAGGGAAAGATACAAAAATGGAACAAACAATGCAAAATCAAGAACCAAAACCTCTTTATTCCTTGTTCCATTTAAGAAACTTAAGAATTCCTCATCATCAATAGATTAGATGTCCACATAAATGTCAAAGCAAACGTCATACACTCAAGTTCACTATGTTGAGGTACTACCACAACATTCACTGATTAACAATTTACCACGCAGAGACATCTAATAAGTTCTAATCAAAAACTAATGCATAAAAAGCCCTAAGCCCTGACGAAAATCAAATATAGATTGCTACTGAAACCCCTTATTACTCGAAGTAAGAAGAAAATTGATGAGCTTAATACTCTCAATCCTACAAAAATTAGCTACAAATATCCGAATTTCAATCTTCTTTGAAGGAGCAAACGAGAGCTTACTCGGCGAGATCGCCTAGCTGACGAAGAATTCCGACGAGCCCAGCGACTTCAACAGCGCCGAGAATCGTCTTCGGTTCCTCATATTCCACGGCGGCGCTACGGTTGAGCTCCGCCCCACCCAAGCTTAGCTCGTTCCGTATCTTGAACCTCACCAACGGCATTTTCGCTTTCACTCTCTCTCTCTCTCTCTCTTTCTCTCTCTCCCGCAGGAAATGAAACTAAATAAATTAAAACGGGCTGTGAACATTAATTATCAATAAATAAATAAATTGAATTTCACTTTGACAGTTTGACTCTTCTTTATTTTATTTGGACCTAATTAAAGCTCTGAGATATAATTAGAGAGGCTAAGTTTAGATTCCTTATGTTCATTGTGTTTTATGAGTTGATTCAGCTTTCCCAGATAATTATCACTTTTATCGCTAAACACTTGATAAACCCTTTTGTGTTTTAATCCGAAAAATTTTGTCTCCAAACAAAACATCTGTGAATCTGCATGGGCCTGAAATAAGGACAAACATATAGGCCTTAAATGGGCTTACTGTTTCGAGATGTGATGAGACTATCAGATTCTGGGCTGAGTGATCACTTACTTTACTAAAAAAAAAAAATAGATTTGATAACTGAATATTATTATTAAAATTATAAAATCCAATAGTCAAAAACTTTTTTTTTTAAAAAAAGTAAATGTACCATATCACCTTGTTACTATTCATAATTAGATAAATGGGAAAAACAACTATTCAAGCACTGTGCATTTTTCAATAATACAATTTTACCCCTATTTAGTTATTCCTCTAACTCTCTCTCTCTCACATATCTCTTTCCCTTCCTCATTACAATTCGAAGCCTACAGCGACGAACACTCTCTCTCTCACCTATTTCTTTCTCTCCCTCACTACAATTTGAAGCATTGACAGCGATGAAAACTATAATTTATTGTTGTCTTTTTTGCTCAAATGTTTCAATACGTACCTGCTCAGATTTTGTTCTCTGTGCTCTAATGGTAGAAATGATTGATTTTTTTTTTTAAGTTCTGCAAACCGGATCGAATCTTGCTCTAGATCTGTCAAGATTCATCACAAATCATGATAATGTTTCCAGAGGACGACTCGATACAAATCTGCGAGGTGTGGAACGAGAATCTTGAATCAGAGATGGCACTGATTCGAGAAGTCGTCGACGATTTCCCTTTCGTTGCCATGGATACTGATTCTAGGCAGATGTTTTAGTGCAATATATAAGTTGTTAACATGTTAAATTTATTTGTATCGCGTTAAACAAATTAATATCATACTTTAAAGTAACCTAGATAGCTGCAAATGTATTTGCTCTAAAATGTAGATAGCTGCCAATGACTTACCTCTAACTAAGTTTCAATGTTTTGAAAATAAATAACATGTTAGCGAATACAAATATTATGTTAGAGATGATAAATAAATTGTTAGCGGATAAAAATAGTATATTAGAAACGTTAAATAAATTATTAGCGAATACAAATTTTATGTTAGCAAGATAACATATCTTTTATTGATGTAAACTTAGTATTAGCAAGATAACATAACATTTATCATATTAATAAAGTATGTAGTATGATAATAAATTATGTAGTTGTATAACTTATATGTTAACGAAAGAAAAATGATGAAAGAGAAATTCCATACGGGAAAAAAGACTCCTAACAAAAGAAGGAGGGATTAAAAAGTAATAACACTTTCAAAGTGTCCGACAACTGTCTTATCAATTTATTGTTTTTCCCATTTACTTAATTTTGACCAAAATGTAGAATTTCTATCAAATTGTCTCTTTTAAAAAAACAAATTACTGCAATCTTTTGATTTGAAGTTTTGAACGTCAAAATGTCTTAAATTAACAACATACTAGATACCCGTGTATCTGCAAAGGAATATTTTTTTAATCAAAATTTGCAGTGCAATTTATATTTTTAATAGATTAATTTTTCTAATAAGTGACAAAGATTTATTTTTGTGTTTAAATATAATTTTTTTTTAGATTTTTTTTTCTACTATTATTGTGACCACGATCATAAAATCATAATTCTAATCCGATCATTCCATTAATCGAAAAAATAACCGTTATTATAAAAACATATTTCTAACTCGCTCATTCTATTAATCCAAAAAAATTGTGGTTATAAAATCATAATTCTAACATATCTGTTTACATGACTATATAATATAAATATTTACTAATTTTGAAATAATTTTTATCTTAATATCCTGTATTTTTTGATAACTCAACCCGCATAAGATCACAATTATATAAAAAAACCTAACTCGTCTTATCATATCACCATATAATATTAATACTTATCAGTTTTTAATATGTGAAATTTTAGTCTGATTAAATATGATTAAAAAATACAATAAGGTATTCGTTAATCATATGTGTTATTCTAAAAATATTGTTTAAATTTCAAATTTTAAATTAAATCTAACATATATTTAAGGAACCTATATTTAAGGAAGTCTAAAGTAATTTAAATTAAGAATATATATTTTTCAGAATTCAATTTAATTAAAAAAAAACAGTTTGAATTTTAAATTAAATATAACCTATATTTAAGGAAATCATAAGTTATCTAAATTAATATCTATTTTTCGAAATAAAATTTATATATAAAAGAAAATGTGTTTTTTCTCGAATAATATTGTAATAAATTAGAATAACAATAAATAAGGATAATTTTAAAACTTTTTCTAAACACTTCAAAAAAAAAAAAACTTTAGAAGTGTTTGAAAGCAAATACTAAAAGTGCTTCTGTTTTAATATAATCCAATGCATCCGCACAGGAATATTTTTTATTGTTTAACGAATTTTATAATATAATTTTTGTTTTTGAGTTTATATATAGTTATTTTTATAAATATATTTTTTAATAAGTGAAAATATTGATTTTTGTGTTTAGATATATTTTTAAATATTATTTATAGTATTAGAATTAATTATGATTATAAAAATATAATTTTAACCCGTCCGCTCATATTAATTTAAAATAAAAAATTATAAAAACATAATTCTAACTTGTCTGTTCATATTACCGTATAATATAAATATTTGTTAGAAGTTTAAGATATATTAATAGTATTATTTAGCATTATATTTTTCTAAAATTTAATCAACAATAAGTGTATGTAATAATTTTTAATTTTTTTACTTTTACTAGATTTTGCATCCACGCTACGCGTGGATATTTGGTTGATAAAAATTATATGCAATCAATTATTATTATTAAGATATAAATTTTATATGTTAATATTTTAATAATATATTAATAATATTATGGTGTTAATCTAATAATTTTTATGTAAATAGTGAGATTTTAATGGGGTTTTTTTTCTTTCTTAAATCTATATACAATATGTCATATTTCAAAAACATATTATTTGGTCAAAAACTTATAAGTTAATATAACCAAACCAACTAATTTTTTTTTTATAAATCAATCAAATGTTACTTTTTAAACATAGTATTGACATGATGATAACATGTTATACATTCACTTTTTTAAATCAAGAAGATAATTGTTTTTATCATTTTCACTTTTATTCCAATTATATTTGTGTTCTTTAAAAACAATAATAAAATTAAAAATTAATATTTCATCTTTTTCTTCATGTTCATTTTTATTCTTGTTATATCTGTTTTTATCATATTTATTTATTTAAATAATTTCTGTATGATTATATTCAGTTTCATCATATTCATTCTCACTTTTTTCTAATTATAATTAAGTAGGCAAAATTGATACAATTTAATACATACAAATTTATAACAATGAAATAACAAATTGAGCAACTCAAAACTAAGGTCTTCTACATTAATCTATTGCAATTCCAAGTCGAATATACAAAATATAATTTTTTGATCATTTTCCTATAATATATTACATGAGATTATTTGGAAATATGTTTTGCATATGTGAAAAAAAATTAGATGAATATAAATAATAATTATTAGTTATTTAAAATTTTATGTGAAAATTCTTAAAATCAAATATCTTAAACTTGTATAAGTAGCATATATTTTTTGATAGATAATAAATTAAATTTGTAACATAAACAGTGATAATGGAGATTTTAATATCATGTTGCTTTTTTGTTATTTTTAGAGATTTAACTTATTTTTTAGTTTATTTTCTTAACCATAATATTAGAATTAGAAAACTTTTTATAATTTAAAATTTTGATATATACGAATAAAATTATAATTTTAAATGCTGATGTGGATACTTTGAAAATAATATAGCTTTAACTGTTATTAATAATAAAATAATTTTAATTAACAATTTTTCCTATATTTTTGTATTAACAATATAATTTTATTATTTAGATTTTTTTAACAATATAATTTTATTATTTAGATTTTTTTTTTAATTTTAGTTATTGATGTGGACTAATAAAATTGATCTTTTAAATATTTTGAGAATGTCTTTAGAGGCATATAGCTTTAATTTTTTTCTATAATTATATTTTTTTGTTAACAATATAATTTTAAAACTTGAAAATTGTCTTAATTTTAAATATTGATGTGGACCAATAAATTAAATTTTAAATCATATGTGGACATTTTTAGAGACATATAGCTTTAACTTTTATCAATAATAGATTTAGAAAATCAAAGCTGGAAGATCCCACACGAGACCCGTTGCAGCAAGTGATTTTGGTATCTCCTCTTTGGTTTGAGGCTTACCGAATGTATTCGGATGGTGTTTGATCAGCTAATTGTTATTGTTGTGGTTAAGTTTGGGTTGTTAAAACCCTATCAGATGCTATGTTATTTCAAAAATCTAGCTCGGATACTTAGTCTCTTTCGTCTTAATGACGGAATCTCTTTCTCTATTTTCAGTGCTTCTTTTTCAAAAGTGTCGAGTATCAATCACTTGACATGTTTCTCGGATTGCTTGAAATTTATCATTCTTCTCAAATTCTTTGGCCAAGTTTTGGAGTTTTTACGGTTTTTTTTTTAATATTAAAACGGTTTGTAATGACTTTGTTTATATCTCATTTTATTATATTTTTTGTAATTTAGCTAATAGTAAAACATATAGTTTAGTCAAGTTGGTTCCTTTATGTTGTAATGATTCATTTTTTTTAGTAAAACCTAACTATATATATATTTTTATTTATTTGACATGGTTGCACACACAGAAAAACAAAACTTAAAAATTATCATAGTTATATAAAAATGCTAATGTAAGAGTCTCTAAATATGTGTGTATATATTTAATTTAAATTTAAAATTTAAAATTTTAGTTTTTTATTATTAATATGAATTTTATATATAATTTATTTATTTTTAATAATTTTTAAAAACAATAATAGAATTTGGAAATTTTTTTAATTTTCAGTGTTGACCTGGACCAATTAAAAATTTATACATAATTTTTTTACTTAGAAATAATATTAGAATTTGTAAAGTTTCTTAATTTACTTATTCAGCAATAATATTAGAATTTGTAAACTTTCCTTAAATTTTGAATGTTGATGTGGACCAATAAAATTGCTCTTTTAAATCCTATGTGGACACCTTAAAATGCATTTAGCTTCAACTTTTATTAGTATATAAGATTCTGTGTAAAAAAATATATTTTCGATACACATGTATGATTCAAAATTAGTGATTTTAGTTATCAAAATATTTTTAACCCGTTTTTTATATATAATTTCAGTTCTATGAATTATTAAAAATATATTTTTAATATTTAAATTATACATTTGACTTTTACTTATTATTTTATTAATAATTTGTTAATAAATAATAATCGTAAATATTTTAATAATCAACATAAATATCATATCATTTACATCATCATAAATATTTTATATTTCAAATATGGCCATTATTTTTTCATATGTGAAATATTTTTTTTTTAAATTCTAAATATTTTTGATAAAAACTCTTAATAGTATAGAAATTATTTAAATTAGAATATTTAAATCAAATATAAATTAATATCTGATTTATTAATTTAAATCAAATCAAATCAAATCTAAATTACCTATATTTATGAAAATTTAAAAAATTTTAAATTAATAACTAATTTTCGAAATTAAATATAAATAATTATTAAAATTATTTTCAAATACTTAAAAAAATAAAAGTGTTTGGAAGCAAATATTAAAAATGCTTCTAATATAATAGATAATAGATTACTCCAAGCGACTCAACCATCTGATGGAAAAAGGACTCCCTCTTTTGGGCTTAAGACTCCCTGTTTGATTTAGAGGCTCCCTTTAAATTTTGATAGAGCTTTTGTGTGGAAAACTCTTTCCCTTTGTCGAAATCTTATCCTGTTACCTCGTATTGTGGTCCTTTTTCTTCAGATCTTCTTTCGCTTTGAAGTTTTTCTTGGTTCTCTTCAGCTAAATATTTCTAAGATCTCTTAATTTCTGTTCCCTTCCATCCTTCTTTGGGATTTGAAGTGTGCTTCGTGAGTAAGGGTCTGGACATTTTATTTGGAGGCTTCTCAGCTGTTTGTTGCTATCTTCTGTTTCCTGTGATAATGTCTTCGGCCATGGATAAGGCCCTGATGGCGATGTCTCTGGAAGAAGAGGATGTGCCGTTTGATATGATGGATCTTCCGGAGTATAGTTCTTGCGAACGGAATGTTTTCAGTGTTATTGGTAGGTTACTGAATCCAGACTGCCAAAAGATGGCTAGTTTGATTTTAGATATGCCAAGGAAGTGGCAGAAGTATGATAGAGCTCGTGGGGTCGCTCTATCTAAGGAAAAGTTTCAGTTCATTTTTAGTTCTGAGAATGATTTAGATGAAATTCTTATGAAAGGGTTTCAGACTTTTAATGAGTGGGGTTTGGCCATTAAAAGATGGGAAAACACTCCTCCGGTGGATTACCTTCAGTTTGTGCTGTTATGGGTACAACTTCGGAATATCCTTGTCAATCATTACACTGTCGAAGCAATCATGACCTTTGGAGATGTTGTTGGTCAGGTCATCGAGGTGGCTTTCGACCCGAAGAAATCGCAGAGTCGGGGTTTCGTTCGAGTGAAGATCTTATTTGATGTCTCAAAGCCTCTACGTAAATCAAAAGTTTTTAATCTTCCTAGAGGTGCAGGTCAGGCTAATATTGAGTATTTTTATGAGAAGGTTCAAAAAAGATGCTACTCGTGTCAACGTTTGACTCATGATCAAAGTGTTTGTCCAATCTTGGTCAAGATAAGGCAAGATCAAGCTATCAGTAGGAGGATGGACAAAGTTTTTGACAAACCGATTCCTGAACCGGTTCTTAAGAAGTCTGACCCTTTGTTTGGAGTTTTGGAAAAATCTCAAGTGGGTATTCAACCAGTTTTGGGTCGCCCGAGGATCGCTCCAGAAGTCTTAGAAGGGATGAGGCAATATCTGCTTGTTGCTGAGGGTGAAGAAAGGAAAATTAGAGAAGAAAGAGTTAAGAGGACTGTTTTTGAGGCTGAATCTTCTTCGGCTTCTCAAAAGTCTATCCTAAGACTTGAGCCTCCCCCGATCATTTCCAGAGATCCGATGAAAGGTAAAGGTCTTGTTTTTGGATATGGATCGGATGACTCTTCAACTCAGTCTGAAAGAATTATTCCCCATGGTCCAAAGCTTTTATCTGCTGCCATTCAAGCGGCTGCTCCATCTGTGAGGAAGCCTCGTAATTCAGATATGCAAGATGAAAGTTCTGCAGTAAATGTTTTTGGTGATTCATCTCCTTTTCAGGATGGTTCAACGGGTTATAAGATTGGTCTCTTTGAGGCTAGTCCTTCCGGAACCAAACTAAAAGGGAGCAATCCAAGGAAAAGGCCAGGGAAAAATATAAGAAGATTCAAGGGATCTGTGAATGGTGGTTTCAATGGAGCTGGTTCGAAGAAAGAAGGCTTAGAAATTGGAGTGATTGAAAAAAAGAAAACACAAAGAAAAGTTGGAAGGAGTACCCAAAGCTGCAAGGCCAAATACTCATGAGATGGTCCCAAAGGAGGGACTGTCCAAAGATTTATGAGTCTTCTGAGTTGGAATTGTCAGGGATTGGGCCGTGTTCAAGACTTGACGATTCCGCGTCTCAAAGAAATGCGTAAAAAACATTTCCCAGAGATTCTGTTCTTGATGGAGACTATGCATAATAAGAATGTGTTGGTAGATTTGCAGGAGTGGTTAGGGTATGATAAAATCTTTACTGTTGAGCCGGTGGGGACTTGTGGTGGCCTTGCTCTGCTGTGGAAAAACAGTGTTTCTGTGGATATGAAGTTTGTAAATAAGAATCTTTTTGATTTTCATGTGCAGTTTGGTAAAGATGAATTCTTTGTGTCGTGTGTTTACGGGAATCCTAATGTCAAGTTGAGACAAGTGGTTTGGGAAAGACTGATGAGGATTGGAATCCATAGAAAGGAGAAGTGGTGCATGCTTGGAGATTTTAACGAAATCTTGCACAATGGTGAAAAAGTAGGTGGACCGAGAAGAAGTGATTCATCTTTTGTGGGGTTCGCTGATATGCTTAATAATTGTGGGATGTCTGAAATGCAGGCATCGGGTAACAGTTTCACGTTGGGTGGAATGAGAGGCAAACTTTGGATCCAATGCAAGCTAGATAGATGATTCGGAAATAAAGAATGGTTTAAGTTCTATCCAGCGTCAAACCAAGCCTTCCTTGATAAGAGAGGATCAGATCATAGACCGGTGTTGGTGAGCTTAATGTCATCAAAAGAGTCTTATAGAGAAAGCTTCAGGTTTGACAAAAGGTTTTTAAATAAACCTAATGTTAAAGAAGCTATTCTTCAAGCGTGGAGTAAGAAAAAGAATGGCTCGGTGTCTTCGGTGTCTAAGAGGTTAAGCGAATGCAGAAAGTCGCTCAGTTCTTGGAAAAAAGAAAACAACTTGAATTCTCAGGATAAAATTCAACAGATTCAGGTCACTTTGGAGTGTGAACAATCGGCTTTATATCCTTGTGGTAGACAAGTTGATTTTCTGAAAATCAAACTCTTGGAAGCCTACAGAGAAGAAGAAGATTTCTGGAGTCAAAAAAGCAGAGACAATTGGTTGCGTGAGGGTGACAAAAACTCTAAATTCTTTCATGCATCAGTGAAGTTCAGTAGACAAAGGAAAAGGTTAGAGTTTCTGAGAGATTCTAAAGGAAACAAGCACTTCTCTGATGCATCAAAAGGTGAAGTAGCGGCTGCATACTTCAAACAGCTTTTCAAATCTTCTAATCCGGATTGCTTTCATCAGTTATTTCAAGGATTTCAGGCTCGTGTAACTGATGTTATGAATGAGCAGCTGATTAAAAAAGTTTCTAGAGAGGAAGTCAAGCTTGCTGTTTTCTCTATAAAGCCATCTAGTGCTCCTGGGGCTGATGGTATGACAGGTCTGTTTTATCAAAAATACTGGGAGATTGTTGGGGATCAAGTCACTTTGGAAATTGAGGATTTTTTCTTATCCGGGAATTTGCCTAAAGAATGGAATTATACCCAACTGTGTTTGCTTCCTAAGACAGTCGATCCATCTCTGATGTCTGATCTGAGGCCGATCAGCCTTTGCAATGTTATGTATAAGATTATTTCAAAGATCATGGTTTTTAGACTTCAGCCATTCTTACCCAGTCTAGTGTCCCCAAACCAATCAGCCTTCGTTTCGGAGAGACTAATATCAGATAACATCATGGTGGCACATGAACTGATTCATGGTATTAGGACGCACCCTTCGATTTCAAAGGAATTCATGGCTATAAAGTCCGATATGTCCAAAGCATATGATAGGGTTGAATGGAACTACCTGAGAACTTTGTTGCTGCTATGGGATTCCATCATAAGTGGACTGATTGGGTTATGAAGTGTGTGTCTACAGTTTCTCTGTTCTGATAAACGACCAGGCACATGGTTTGCGCCAAGGTGATCCCTTGTCTCCCTTTTTATTTGTTCTGTGCACTGAAGGGCTGACCCACCTATTGAACAAAGCAGAGCAAGAAAGTTTTTTGGATGGTATTCGGTTTGCTGACTCTGGTCCATCAGTACATCATCTGCTCACTACAAGAAAGATCGGCTTTTACGTCGGCAGATATCGACGTAAAATCGACGTAAAAGAGCATTTACGTCGAATTAACGACGAATTAAAAATCGTCGTAAAACGATCGTCGTAAAACCGAAATCGTCGTAAAATCGTCGTAAAATTACCAACTCCGGAAAATCGTCGTAAAATCGTCGGGAACTATTCGTCGTAAATGCGTCATAAATTTTCCAACGGATGTACAACGAAAGAACTCCATCATAAAAACGACGTAAAATCGATGTAAAATTACATCGATTTAACAACGATTAGGAGACGAACAATTTCAATTAAGGGAAACTAAATTTTTAATTGTCGATGTTAAATCGTCGTAAAGTTTCGACGTAAACTTATTCGTCGTAAATTCGTCGTTAAATATTCGACGTTAAATCGACGTAAATGTACGACGAATTTACGTCGATTTATAAATTAATTATTTAATTCGATTTTAATTTAATTAATGAATTTTTAAAATAATCAAAAAATTAAAAATAGAAAAAATTTAAATTTAAATTGAAATTTAAATTCAAAAATAATTTATAAATAAAAAAAAATTAATACAAATTGTTTTTTACAAAAAAACCTAATCTATACAATGATGTCGTAATCGTCGAGGTTGAGATCGACGTCACGAGGAGGCTCTCCGTCTTGGCCGCCCATCGCTGCTAGGCCGACGTTTCCCGTCTGCACTACCGGAGCCGAAGTCTGACCGCCCGTCGCTGCTGAGACCGGAGCCGAAGACTGACCGCCCTGCGTCTGCTGGTCCGATGGTCCAGTACCGGAACTACCACCGGTCTCAAAAACCCTCCGTGCTCGCTGTTGCCTCGCTCGGATTGCGGTGGCCAACTGCGGAACCGCTTCTGCAATGATGTCGAAGAGATCATGTATCTCGGTGAGCTCCTGCTTCTGGGCCACTTGCTCATGCCTGAGACTGGTGATCTCAGCATTGGCCGTAGCAAGCTCCTGCGAAGCTGCGGATCCCTGCGTGCGGAATCCGGAAGCCGTGGCGGCAGGACAGTCTCTAATAGAGCCCATCCCTAAGGTCCGTGCTTCTTCTTCGGAGCAACCTACAAATGGAAAATAAAAACGTTAATTATTTATTAAGTAATTATAAATATAATAAATTTTTAAAAAATTGAAATAGATATCATACCTCTTCGAAAATCTGGTCTTGCTCAGCGACGGGTCAACGGTACTTGGATAGTACCGTCAGGTGTGGCCTGGGTCTCCCGCTCGGCGATCCGCTGCATAGCGGCATTGTAGATCTCCTCGGACCGAGCGTCGACAAAGCTCCCGTCCTTCTTCCGGTGAGTGGTCTCGAAGAGCTACGTCATTGGAGGTAGTTCTCCTCCGTTCTCCTACGATCACTCCCATTCGTCGTAAATTCGTCGTAATAAAAACCACATTTCTACAAGTTCCTGAACCTTATACTACATACTCTTATATAATACATCAGTTTACTTAGGAAAATGAACCCAAAAACCATTCTGTAAGTTGGGAAAGCTAGGGTTTAGGGTTTGCATAGTACGACGAATTTACGACGATTTCTAAATAATCGTCGTAAATTCGTCGTAATAGTCAACATATGTCCAAGTCAACACTTAAACAAATTTTCATCAACATTTAATTAGTCTTCATTAATTGGCTTTAATTTTTCAAAAATTTAAATTTGACAAATGTTACATTGAAACGTTCAAAGCATGCAATTAAATGTCAAAATATTTAATTAGTCTTCATCAACATTTTCCTCGGTGTCCTCATCATCATTGTCATCATCATCACCGCTTGTTTGAAATTCGTCAGCACCTTCTTCAGTTTCGTCCCCATGTAGACCTTCAACTTGTCGATTACGTGGATCAATTAAAAGAACATTTTCTTCAACATCCGGTTCTGTAATGTGGACACAATCATCTTGTTGCATTGGCGGGAGATCTACACCATCAATTATACCCCTTGGAGCAACTTTGACAACCGCCAGCCATGAAATTCCCGTATTCCGAACTCGAGGATATGGAACAAAGGTGACTTGTTCTGCTTGAGATGCAAGTATAAATGGCTCGAACTTATTGTATCGCCGAGATGCGTTTACATCTACCACTCCAAATTTGTTAATTCGCACTCCACGACCTACCGTAGGATCAAACCAATCACATTTGAATAGAACAGTTTTCTTTCTGACTAATCCGGGGTATTCCACTTCAATTATCTCTTTGATGATCCCATAAAAGTCTACTTCACCTCGTACACAAACTCCATAGTTTGTAGTTGCCCGTTGAGTGCCATGACTATAAGTATGAAAAACATAGCCACGTGTGAAATACATAGTTGCAGTAGTTATCTTCGAAATAGGACCTAGGAGCAACTCATGAAACCATACTGCATATGTCATGTCATCATGCTCGACTTGACCTTTTAACCACAATGCATAATGTTGGTCTTTTCGCTTGTTAATTTCATCTTCTGAAACACCGTCAATGCATTCTCGGACTTGACTGACGAAAGTGCTGAAATTTTAAAACATTGTTAAGGACATTTCCTATGTTCAATCAAATTTTAATCATACATGGTTATAATTATGTACCTCTCGTAAGGTGCCAATTCCTCGTAATTCAGAAGTACATATGTATGTGCGCTGTGGTAGTCTTGTTCGTTTGACCAACAAGTTTCTTTTAGTTTCCCACTTAGACGTCCAATTGGTGAGAATATATCAGGCACACCTTCTACTGCGTAACTTTGTCCTACACCCCCATCGTCGTAACGTCTTGGAGCCCGTTTGCGTGTACGAACCTTTGGAGCAAAGTAATAAGACGTGAAATGAGAAGTCTCTTCTGTCAGACTTCCCGCCACGATAGACCCTTCAACTTTTGCTAAGTTTTTGGCCTTACCCTTCAAATGCTTCATAAATCGTTCAAACGGATACATCCACC